GCCCTGCTGCTCGGGGATCTCGCCATCACTCTGTGTTGGTCTAAAGCTCCAATAACAGAGCTCTTCCTCACAGCTGCAGCGCCTCCACAAACCTTTCTGGTCTTCCCTACATCCAGGCCCACCTCAAACGCCAGCAGCTGGGATCCACACCTGTTAGCCGGGGCTGCAGAACCACATCAGCCAGTAAGCCGACCACCGTGTCCAAGCCTTTACTGTCAGCAGACACAGCATACATGGTAGTGTCTCTAGAAGAAAAAACAAACCGGCAATGCCGGGTCCTGAGCTCACACTCCACTGAACAGGCCTGCCATGCCAGGGGGCACTTCCTACCCTTTTGTTGGGGACCAACAGACATTTTTCCCTGTCCCTTTTCCTGTCTTAAGGTGTAAATGCTTGGGAGGCAGGACTCACAGCTACACACAACTTCAGTCAAAATGGAGGCACTCCTGAAAGAGGTTTTTGTAACTGCAGTCTCTCTCAAAAGGTGAAGTGTTTCATCCCAGCCTCCCGTTTCCTGAACGAACCCCACTGGTCAGTGTGGAAACATGCCCGGGCTTGGATGGCTCAAGGGACAGCAATGGCTGGCTCGTATGGAGCTTCTGTCCTGATTTATTTATTTATTTATTTATTTATTTATTTATTTATTTTTTTTGAGACAGAGTTCCGCTCCTGTTACCCAGGCTGGAGTGCAATGGCACGATCTCGGCTCACCGCAACCTCCGCCTCCTGGGTTCAGGCAATTCTCCTGCCTCAGCCTCCTGAGTAGCTGGGATTACAGGCACTGCGCCACCATGCCCAGCTAATTTTTTGTATTTTTAGTAGAGACGGGGTTTCACTATGTTGACCGCGATGGTCTCGATCTCTTGACCTCGTGATCCACCCGCCTCGGCCTCCCAAAGTGCTGGGATTACAGGCTTGAGCCACCGCGCCCGGCCCTGTCCTGATTTAATATCTGTTCACAGCATGAGACACTGCAGTCAGAAGCGCAGAGTCCGTGGAGCAGGCACGGAATCGTGGGGTGATCTGAGATCAAGTGTGATCAAGTGAGACCATGCAGAACAGACACAACAGCCACGAAGAAGAGGGAGCGTGGGAGGCAGGATGCGGTCACCACTGCCTCTGAAGAGACTTGGTTGGGCCTTTCACCCTGAAGAGGAGCCAGTCGCAGTGACCCCGGCCCACCTGGGGAGAATGGCAGGAGCAAAAGCCTGAGCTGAGGGCGAGGGGCTGGGTCTGAGTCAGGACACCGGCCACCTGGCCGGAGAAGGTGTTCATCTGGGAGGAGTAAAATGCAAGGCAAGAGTGGGAGGACCTCACACGCCAGGCAGGGGCGGCCGGGAGGCAGGGGTATCAAGAAGCCTTGTTTTAGAATGTATGTTATCTCCAAGCTAACTTAATTCTTAGCATTTAATGTGTTTTTTATTTCTTTTTTTGAGACAAAGTCTTGCTCTGTCACCAGGCTGGAGTACAGTGGCACAATCTTGGCTCACTGCAACCTCTGCCTCCTGGGTCCAAGCGATTCTTCCACCCGGCCTCCCGAGTAGCTGAGACCACAGGCGCATGCCACCACGCCTGGCTAATTTTTGTATTTTTAGTAGAGACGGGGTTTCACCATGTTGGCCAGAATGGTCTCCATCCCTTGACCTCGTGATCCCCCCGCCTCGGCCTCCCAAAGTGCTGGGATTACAGGAGTGAGCCACCATGCCCGGCCACATGTCTTTTGTGTGTAATTTTTTTAGCATTCAAACTTAAATAATCAACCATTTAAAAAATCTGTGACCTGTATCCACCCATCTCACATCGCCCATCGCTTTCTGAACAAGCTCCTCACCTGGCGTGCCAAGACCACTCCACCGTGCTCCAGGCAACACTGCCCTCCCTCCACCAAGCAGCCAGCACCTCCCTAGCTTGGAGCCTTGGCCCCTGCTATCTCCTGGTTGGGAATGCCTTTTGCCCACTGTGTCTAGCAAACTCCTTTGGAACCCGCCCAATCCTGCGTTTTCTATGATTCCCTTCCAACTCCAGAGCAACTCCAGCTGCTCATCCTCCTGGCTCCTACCACCCTTGGCTACTGGGTGCAGTACGTATGCAAGGCCCTGTGCTCTACCTGGGGACAGGGCCTGCTCTACATCCCTGACATACAGCCAACAGCCCAGATCAACGACGGGTGTGAAATGGATTCCTGGGGACTGTGCTTCTCTGTGAAGCGCTGCCCACCCAACTCTCCATCCAGGATGGGGCTCACTTCTCCCCATGAATCTCCACAGCCTCTCCGATGGGAGGGGCTCAGAGGGAATCTGACCAACGATGAGGTCAGTTCATACAGACACGAAGTCAATTCGTACGTAAAAGATGGTGTACCTTGATGTCTGGCAGTCACAAATACCCCCATGCTTTTCCAATGTAAGCAGAATTTCATCTTTGCTGTCAAATCGAGCAGTAGACTAGTAAAAATAAATAAGAAAACCTAGGTAAGCAATCCAGCCTGTCCCTAAAATATAATTATTTTTAAAATTTACTTTTGCTTTCAAAACACACAGAAAAATTCTTTTAACGTAAGTCTTCTATTAGCATTAATTTAGCAACTTAATAGTTTATTAAAATAACCATTAAAAGAAGAAAAACTTCAAACATCCTTCAAAAATAGAGTCTAAAAAATTACAAAACTGGACACTGACCGAAAATGCCAATTTTTCCAAAAAGTGAGCAATTCCACTAAGATATTTTGCTTCATATCTTGATCCTGAATTAATAAGAACTAGTAGTAAAAAGAAAATTGACAGGTTAAGTCAGATATTCAAAATAAGATTTATCAAGAGAAACATTTTAAAATTTCAATATGCTATGATCAGATTTAATTACACGAGTATGATTGTGCTGCTGACGGTTTCACAGGTGTATGTGTAAGTCAACATTGATGAAATCATACACTTTGTTTCCATTCAGGGTACAGCTCACAATGGACACTAACCCACTAACCAACAGTCCACTAAAGCTTGTGCATGTTCAAACAGCAGGGCACCCACAGCACCACAGTACTTACTTCCTACTGTACAAAACTGTCCAAACTTATTTTGAGATGCCACGCGAAGCCCATTATCCAATGTGGTGACTTTGGTTTCAAACTTTTCCTGTCCATCAACTGTAGCAAAAATAGGCTTGGGTACTCCAGGCAAGGGAGAAGAGAGGGGGATGTTGGGATAGGCACCACCACTACTGAACCGTCTGTGCGCAGGAGGCCCAAACCTGAAACAGAGAAAGCAGCCCAGTCACAGCAGGCTTGGGACCACAAACCGGCGATGCCCTCTCAGGTGAAGTTAGTTTTGTTTTGCCTGCGTTGAAAGTGAACATCTGCCTTTCTAAAGGACTTATTTCTACAGATTTTGGAAGACAGCAGAGGCTGACAACAGAGACAGGCTCATCCACGGGACCTGGAACAAGCTGATTCCACCCTTTGGGTCTTAGTTGCCTTCTCTGTAAAACAGGGCTTATTAACATCAACGCGCTCCAAAAGTGCAGTCTGTACACATAAAGCCCTCAACAGGATCCTTGAGGTCTTAGATAGAAACCACACCCCTTATTACCCTAGTCCAAAGGCGGGGTGTAACTTGGCCTCTGTCTCCCTCTCCACACTCATCTCCTGAACCCCCCAGAACCCTACAGGTCGTGGTCAACTGATTCTTCTGTCAATTCCTGGAACACATGTGACTCATCACCCCCAAACCATCTTCGCTGTTCGAGGCCTTGCCCTTTGCCCACGCCTACCCCTTCTTCCATTTCTTCATCTCTTCCCTTAAATGTCACCCTCAGAGAGGGCTCCCCTCATCAGTCTACTCTTTCCTGTTCTTTTCTTTTTTTTGAGACGGAGTCTCGCTCTGTTTCCAGGCTGGAAGTTCAGTGGCACGATCACAGCTCAATGAAACCTCCACCTCCCGGGTTCAAGCGATTCTCCCGCCTCAGCCTCCCGAGTAGCTGGGACTACAGGCGCGTACCACTACACCCAGATAATTTTTGTGTTTTTAGTAGAGACGGGATTTCACCATGTTGGCCAGGATGGTCTCGAACCCTTCATCTAGAGATCCGTCCGCCGCGGTGTCCCACAAGTGCAGGGATTACAGGCGTGAGCCATCGCTCTCGGCCTTTCCTGTTTTCTATCACCAAAGGCTGCTTCTTTAAGCCAAAGCATTTGCACGATTGCCGATATTTTGTTCACGCTCCTGGCTGTATCCATCTCCTGGGGGCAACACCTCCGCACCCCTGAAAAACCGCTCGTTGTGTGGGGAGGGGCGATGCCTGTACTGCCGGAAGAAAGTTCCAGCGTGGGGAAAGGCAGGCTCGGCCACTTGGGCAGGAGGAGCGGTGGGGACGGAAAAGGTCCTCAAACGTCAGGGATCAACAGACCAGCGGACAGAGCGCCGCAAACGAGAGTCTGGACTCTGGTGTCAGAACCCTGCGGTTCTAACAGAGCTGGGCCCCCGCCGGTTCAGCCTCCAGAGAGAGCACGCCGCAGGAGAAGCGAAGGGGCAGAGACGAGACAGGGCCTTGGACAAGGCCCGTCGGCCCGGGAGGTGAGGGAGGGAGAGGACCCGGTAGCCAGGAGAAGAGAGACAGATGGGACTGCGCGCCCGGGCTGGAGGCCCAAGACAGGGCAGGGTTCCCGTCGCCTCGGGGACGCCGACAGTGTCCCCAAGTGGAAGCCCGTTCGACGGACGCCGTGTCTTCTACGGAAACCAAAGACGAAGCGTCCGGGAAGACTCGAGCCGCCCCGGCCCCAGGCCGAAGCACGGCTCGCCTCTGGCTCACCTCAACCGCGAGCGGCCCCAAGAACCCGAGTCCCGCAGCAACCGCGACGCCGCCATCACCACAGCCGCCATGTTGAGTCTCCGCCCCCTGCTTCTGTCGTCACTTCCGCTCCCGCCCGCGGCGCCCCGCCCCCTCAACGACGGCACTAGGCGTTCGGGCACGCGCTTCCGGCGCTCGGAGCGGAAGCGGCGGCCAGAGGCTCGGAGGAGCGGCGGCGGTGGCCGAGCGGCGGGAGAAGGGGGCAGGCAACGGGGGCCGCGGCCCGGGCGGAGCCAGGGCCATGGAGCTGCCGCTGCCGGGCTAGGCAGGTGCAGCCCCGCCGGGCGCGCGGCAATGTCGGGCTACCCGCGCCGCTCAGGCGCCACCCCGCTGTCCCGCGCCCGGAGCCTCGTCATTCCCGACGGTGAGCGGGGCGGGGACCGGGTCCCGCGGTCAGGGTGGGCGGCGGCCGCCCCGGCACGCAGTAAAGTCGCTGTTGTCGTTGCTTCCAGCTCCAGCGTTCTTTGAGCGCCGGTCTTGTCTCCCCCAGCTAGACTGTGAGCGCCCCCATGGCAGGGACCCGGACTCCCCCTTCTTCGGCATTCGGCCGGCCTTTATGTGCTATGTGCCCAGCCCGGTGCCGGCTTCCGTGGGAGACACAGGTGAGACACGAGGGCGCTGGCCCCGGGGACGCCTCCGGTTCCCGCGCCGCCTGTGGCACCTCCGCTGCGGCCGGAGTTCGTCCATTGACCCGACAGTGAGCACCGCGCTCAATGCACGCCAGGCACTCGGAATTCCAAGGCGGAGGAGTCCCGCTGCGAGGAGCTCACAGTCTGGTTGCGGGGAGACCGCCCCCCAGACAGACAGTTCTGATAGAGGATGGTCAGTGCCCAGGGAAGCACAGGAGCCCGCCCGCTTTCCTCGTGGAGCTAGAGTGGGGGTGTCTTCACCCACTGGGCGGTGATTGGAAACCCAGCTGGAGCAGTCCGTCTGCCTCCCCAGCTGGGCAGTGGCCAGGTCTGGTTCATCCCCGTTCTGCGCAGCAAGTGCTGCTGGGTGCCCAGGGTGTGAGGACATTCGGGAGTGACACGAGGCAGGAGGACACACTCTCCCCAGCTGGGCTTCAGAACCTACGGAGAGCCTCTTTCAGACCACAGACACCAGGGCCAGTCTGTGCGAGTCAGACCATCTCCAGGGTCACAGGTCTGGGGGCTTGTGTTTTTTAAAGTTCCCTAGGCTGTGAGAACCGCTGTAGTGGAGACTCCACGTGCAAAAAAAAAAAAAAAAGATGTGAGGTCATAAAGGCTTCCCACCATCATGGTGGGTGACTGTTTCTTTGCAGATTTTGGCTATGGAAAGGGGAAATGTTCTAAGCAAAGCCCGTCAGGAGCCCATCAGACACACTTTGGAGGTAGAGTAGTTCAGAAACCTTTTCTTCGTGTCTCCAACACAGTGCGAGGCACGTGTCTGGTGACGGGACTGTCGGTGTGACGGCATCTGTGGTCTATCTGGAGCCCCATAGAGGAGGCAGGGGTGGGATTTCAAGGGTTCAGTCTTGACCCTAGAATAGAAGCGAGGTGCACGGGCAGAAGAACCTGAGCAGGGGGGACGTCAGGGAGCAGAGAAGTCCCATCTCAGGGCTGGGAACCACAGGAGCCAGCTTTACATGGGTCTCACAGCTGGGAGGGCCACGTGTGGCTGCTTAGGTCCCTGTAGAGTGGGAAGGCAGGCATTATCCCTGTTACCTAGGTAGAAGAGTCGGGAAGGGGGTCGAGGAGCCCTGGCTTCCCCGCCTGGCAGCCCCTGAGGAGCTTTGAGCTCCCAGCACAGGTTGCACCGACACACTGAACTCCATGCATGCGTGCAGTGGAGCGTCCTGGGTCGCCTTACAGCTCCCCAGAGGGTTCTTGTGGGCAGCAGAGCGTGGGAGCAGGGGCTGAGGGGTGGAAGGAGATTTCAAATGCAGACACACGCCCATGTCACTGTCCACCTCCAGTCGCCTTCGTGATTCCCAGGGCTGCCTGAATCATGGGAGAAAGATTCACGTGGCTACCCCACCTCACATGTGGCCGGGCTCTGGAAAGAGGGAAACGGGAAGGTTCCCTTTCGACACTCTCCAGTAGCTTTATACATTTGTGACGTCTGTTGTTTCAGATGACAAATTTGAAGATCTTGAAGAGGCAAATCCATTCTCCTTTAAAGAGTTTCTAAAGACCAAGAACCTCGGCCTGTCAAAAGAGGACCCGGCCAGCAGAATTTATGCAAAGGTAAACCGACAGCGTTGTTGACGACGGCTTGAGACAGAAGCCGCCTCGTGTTTCCGGTCCGTTCTGGCCTGCAGCCGCCGTTGGAGGAGGCCGTGCGAGAGTGTGGCAGGGCAGGGCAGCGGCAGTGCTGGGAGTAGCCCTGGGCTCAGAAGCTGCTGGGCTCCTTCCAGTAGACGAGAAGGGGCCTTTCTCCACGTTCCGAGGCAGAACCCAGAGACGGGAAGGCGCGCGTGGCTTCTGAGTCAGAAGCATGGCCTCCGTTGTTTTTTTTAGGAAGCCGCGAGGCATTCACTGGGACTCGACCACAACTCCCCAACCTCCCAAACGGGGGGATATGGCTTGGAGTATCAACAGCCGTTTTTCGAAGACCCAACAGGGGCTGGTGACCTCCTGGATGAGGAGGAGGACGAGGACACCGGATGGAGTGGGGTCTACCTGCCGTCCGCCATGGAGCAGACTCACCCCAAGAGGGTCCCTGCCGGCGCATCGCCCTGCAGCACATACCTTTCCTTTCTCTCCACCCCGGCGGAGCTGGCAGGGCCTGAGTCTCTGCCCCCTTGGGCATTGAGTGACACTGATTCCCGAGTGTCTCCAACCTCTCCAGCAGGGAATCCTAGCGCAGACTTTGCAGCTCATGGAGAGTCTCTGGGGGACAGGCACCTACGGACGCTGCAGATCAGTTACGAAGCAGTAAGTGAGCTTTGCGGTGCCCTGGCACAGCGCCTGTCTGAGCGAGCTTCTCCGGAGAGAATCTGGAGCCGCCCTGCTTCCTGGGTGGCCTGGTTTGAGTCCCAGGACAAGATGAGTCGTGTAACAGCCTACTATCTACTGTTCACTTTCCCTTTGACTTTGCCTTTGGTTACACGTGGGAGTAGAACCGGCTAAAGAGGACTGGTGAGATAGAAGCCGTGGTTTGGATGCAGTTGAGCACTTAACGGGCTGTACCCTCTGGAAAGGCTGGCTCCAGCTGTCCGCTCAGGGACATCCTGCTAAGTATTCCAAGAGGAGGAACGTGTTTTAAAAATTATAATCACCTAAAAGGTGGTAAGCTCTGAGCAAAACAATTGTTTTTTTTTTTTGAGACAGTGTCTCACCCTGTTGCTCAAGCTGGAGTGCAATGGTGCAATCTCGGCTCACTGCAACCTCTGCCTCGCGGGTTCAAGTGATTCTCCTGCCTCAGCCTCCCGAGTAGCTGGGATTACAGGCATGCACTACCATGCCCAGCTAATTTTTGCATTTTTAGTGGAGACAGGGTTTCACCATGTTGGCCAGGCTGGTCTTGAAGTCCTGACCTCAGGTGATCCACTGCCTCAGCCTCCCTAAGTGCTGGGATTACAGGCGTGAGCTACCGAGCCCGGCCTCTGAGTAAAATGAACTGGCATCTGTGACTGCAGGTCTTTAAAAAGCTACGCCTCCACCCATGGTGTTCATTTGTAGTGTGCTAAAAAAAAAACAAGCAAAAAAAAAACAATTGTTTTGCTCAGAGCTTACCATCTTTTAGGTGATTATAATTTTTAAAACACGTTCCTCCTCTTAGAATACTTAGCAGGATGTCCCTGAGCGGACAACTGGAGCCAGCCTTTCCGGAGGGTACAGCCCGTTAAGTGCTCAACTGCATCCAATCCAGCGTCCAGTGTAGACGCTGCACTGACCCAGGCATCTCTGAGCATCAGGAGGCTCTAGAGTCAGACCACAGACGCGTACCCGCTTTTGAGTGAGACATGCCGACTTTCTAATAGGGATGTTCTTTCTCCACAGCTGAAAGATGAAAATTCTAAGCTGAGAAGGAAGCTGAATGAGGTTCAGAGCTTCTCTGAAGCTCAAACAGAAATGTATGTAAGCTTTCAGTTAGGAATGCAATTCACAACAGCTAACACATAGGGAAATCCGTTTTTTGTTTGTCTGTTTTTTGAGAAGGAGTTTTGTTCTCTTGCCCAGGCTGGAGTGCAGTGGCACGATCTCAGCTCACTGGAACATCCACCTCCTGGGTTCAAGCAATTCTTCTGCCTCAGCCCCCTGGGAAATCCATTTTTAGATGATGATGAAGTAATCAGAATCAAACCGGATCTGGCTTTTAGTGTATTAAAATGTTCAGCATGAAACACGTTTCCGTGTTCTGCGTAAAATTTTCTTTCTTTCTTTTGAGACCGGGTGTTGCTGTGTCACCCAGGCTCCAGTGCAGTGGTGCAGTCACGGCACACTGCAACTTTGACCTCCTCGGCTCCAGCAATCCTCCCATCTCAGCCTCCCAAGTAGCTGGGGCTACAGGCGTTCGCTACCACACCTGCCTAATTTTTAAATGTTATTTTTGTAGAGATAGAGTCTCACTGTGTTGCCCAGGCCAGTCTCAAATTCCTAGGCTCAAGCAATCCACCCGCTTCAGCCTCCTGAAAGACTGGAATTACAGATGTGAGCCACCGTGCCTGGCCAAGACAAAAAGCCACCAAACTCCTTAGTGGGGCAGCAGAGGTGTGAGAGCCCCTCCCTGCACGCCTGCCTCGTGGCTGGCTGCAGCTTCAGGCCTGAGGGTGCCGCCGCCCCCTTGTGCCTGAGGCCCATCTGTCACAGGCTCTTAGAGGGTTTTATTTGGCTAGCGAGCTATCCTTTTGTAGTACTCTTTAAAGTGGCCACAGAAATTAACAACTCGTATTTTTCTTTAACAAGGGTGAGGACACTTGAGCGGAAATTAGAAGCAAAAATGATCAAGGAGGAAAGTGACTACCATGACCTGGAGTCCGTGGTTCAGCAGGTGGAGCAGAACCTGGAGCTGATGACCGTATGGGCGTCTTTCTCTGAATCGGGGCGAGCTGGGCGGGGCAGGAAAGCTCCCAAGAGAGTGCTGTTGTCCTCAGCAGCCGGGTGGGTGCTGTCCAGCCGGTGCAGACCGCCCTTGGGAGTGGGACTATGTGGCTCTCAGGGACCAGTGTCCCTTGGTGTGGCTGTCTCGCTGTTGTCTCAGCCGGCCTAGGAGGCCATCCGTAGGGAGTGGGGGTGGAGCACAGGCACTACACGGTGAGCCCCTCCCATGAGCTGTCTCAGAGTAGGGGCAGGACCGGGTGGGGCAGAGGCTGGGAAGGGCCACAGCCACAGTGGGTGGCCTCCTGGCCCCTGGCTTGGGCCCATGTCCTGTATGGATGTGAGGACGTCAGTGATGCCTTTTCCTGTTTTGTTTGTTTGTTTATTTGTTTTGTGTGGTAACAGAAACGAGCTATAAAGGCAGAAAACCATGTCATGAAACTGAAACAGGAAGTAAATTTGCTTCAGGTAATTAAAGGACCTCAGTGTTTTCCTTTGATTTGTGGAATCACATAGATAGGAATTCAGGAGGAAACATGTGAAAGACCTTCTGCTGGGATTTCCCCTGTGTCCAGGCAGATAAAGGACTTAAGACGGGGACAGTGGGGACAGCACCCACTTCCCATCGGGACCTGGAGCAGAGGGAGCGCTGGATCTCTGTTAAGAGTTTGGGATCTAGCATGGGGCGTCCACTGGCCGGAATCCCTGTTTCTGTAGTCGGGTGCTGGGTTTATACTGGAGTGAAGGGGAAGCTGTTAGGTCCCCAGTTCCAGAGGCAAGCCCCCAGTTAGGCCAGAGCACCCATCCTGAGTGTGCCCAGCCCCCATGGGGATGTCCCACCTCACCCCACGTGGTGCACTTTGAGCTGGATGGCCTCGGAGATGTGCTCCCCTCAGCCTTCACCTTCCCCCCAGGCACAGGTCTCCAACTTCCAGCGAGAGAACGAAGCTCTGCGGTGTGGCCAGGGCGCCAGCCTGACGGTGGTGAAGCAGAACGCTGACGTAGCTCTGCAGAACCTCCGCGGGGTCGTGAGCGGCGCACAGGCTTCCATCAAGTGAGTGCCTGGGGTGCCGGAAAGCCCGGCAGAGAACGAGATGGGATTGGAGTGGCCGTCAGTGGTTCTGGGTGGGGGTCCGGGCTGACAGAACCATGGCTGGCAGACCAGGGAACCGCAGGGAGGGGCGCGTGCTCAGTGGTCTCTTCGCTCTCTGGGTCACTGTGTGAGCAGACTGCGGGCTTTCTGACCTGCTGGACAGTGTCCGACCCCATCTGGGAGGTGCAGACAGTAAGACCACCCGGAACTGACTCCCAGCTCCGCCACCTGCGGACACTAAAGCTCTGAGCAAAGCGTGTAGAGGGAGTTTCCCTCCTGTTGAAAAAGCAAATTCCCAGAAGGCCCTCACTGCTGTGCCTGGCTGGGGACACGCCAGCCACCGTCACTGTGACAGTGGCGAGTGTCTCTACCCACTTGGCTGAGCTCTGCAGGGTGGTGTTGGCCCCCCCCCCCAGAGCACTTCCTGTGGACAGGGGAGCCCGTTCTCCTGTGAAGTCAGGTATGGGTCTCCTCACAGGAGGTCAAAACCTGTCGTTCTCTCCTGGAGCCCCCCCCTTTCTCCCCTCCCCCCTGAGCCCCTGCCCTCTCTCCCCGGAACCCCTCCCCTTTCTCCCCGGAACCCCTCCCCTTTCTCCCTCTTGGAACCCCTCCCCTTTTTCCCCCTTGGAACCCCTCCCTTCTCTCCCCCCCTTACCACCCCCATTGCTGTGAAGTAGCTGCTGAGTAGCCCTTGCCCGTCCTGATACCTGTGCTTGTTTTCAGGCAACTGGTTTCCGGAGCCGAGACGCTGAATCTTGTCATTGAAATCCTTAAATCTATAGACAGAATTTCTGAGATTAAAGAGGAGGAGGACTCTTGAGGACGCCTGGGTGTTTTTGGCGGGAAGCTCTGTGTATGCCCCAAGACCACCGCTTGTCTGAATGTGCAGTTGTGCCCTTAAATACGCAGTCTCCACCCAGAGTAAAGTGTTTGTCCTGAGCGAGGTTCCAGTGTCGTGCCCTTGGCCGGGTCTGGCCACCGCAGCGGGAACAGCCCCTGGCTGAGTTGCCCAGGAGTTTCTGTGCAGCCCTTCTTGGTGAAATCCCTGCAATTTTATAGATTCTAATGAGCTCTGGAAGACACTGTCATAAAAGCCAGTCATTTTAGGAAATTAGTAAACCCCAAAAGAGCAGTTCCGTCATCAGCGTTTTCCTTCTCATCCCTTAACAGCAGTCAATTGTAGGATAACTACAATTGATTGTCCTTGATTTCCTAAGCAGAAAAAACACTCAATGAGCCTCAGAGGTGGCTGCCTGGGCGGGGACCTGTGCCTTCCGCCGGCACTCAGGGCTCCCTCTGGCTCCCAGGTCACTCTTGCGGTCCCAGCGGGTGGTCTCTGCAGTCCTGGCCTGAGTGTGGAGGGGCCACTGTGTGGCTGCTGGTGTCCTCCTCCGGAACCCGGGGACCAAGGCCATGCATTCCGTGCTGTGAAGCTGTCTAAATGGGCCTCGTTGGCTGGGGGTGCTGATGAACATTTTCAAGCAGCATTTTGTACGATGAGGTTGAGAATTCGGGAATTTCAGGTGTGAGCAGAGCCTGCCCAGGTTTGTATGAGGTCCCAGCCGCCTTTCTGACTGCCTCCCACAGAGGGAAGGCCACACGCACTAAATGCCTTTTTAACTATTTTCCTGTAGTTTTTTTTGTTGTTTTTGTTTTTTGTGTTCTTTTTTAGATGGAGTTTCGCTCTTGTTACCCAGGCTGGAGTGCAATGGCGCGATCTCCGCTCACCGCAACCTCCGCCTCCTGGGTTCAGGCAATTCTCCTGCCTCAGCCTCCTGAGTAGCTGGGATTACAGGCACGTGCCATCATGCCCAGCTAATTTTTTGTATTTTTAGTGGAGACGGGGTTTCACCATGTTGACCAGGATGGTCTCGATCTCTTGACCTCGTGATCCACCCGCCTTGGCCTCCTAAAGTGTTGGGATTACAGGCTTGAGCTACCGCGCCCGGCCCAGATGTTTTTTTAACAAGTTTGTTTTCCCCTCCTGTTCCAGTTAATAGCTCTCAATAAATTCTGCAGTTGACCCCACTGTCTCTTCTCTGCTGACTTAGCCAGGCCTTGGAGAACCTCAGCCTTCCATAGCTCACCTGATCCTGCCCTGGCCGGTGCCTTCGCCGGCAGGTGCTCTCCAGATCCTCAGCCCTTGGGGTCGGGGCAGACTCAGACCGCGGCTGCCTGGGCCTGAGCACAGGGACTCACACATGATGGATGTGTCAGTCACACAGCTGCAGGTTTCAGAGTTGGACAGATTGGATTCCCGCGTTGGGTCATTCTTTCAGATCATGTGGTTGAATTTTCAAACAAGGCATCTGAACCACCAGACCCCTGGCCTCAGCCGCAGGTGAAGGTCAGAGCTTTCCAGGAGGCCCTGCAGAGCGGTCCTGCTGCCTAGCCCGTGTGTCTCCCGCTTCTGCCGGTCGGTGAAAGCAGGTTCTGGATTGTGCTGTCAGGGCTGACTTGAGATGGTGCTGTGGTTGGAAGGTGCCGGAGTCAGCTTCTGAGTGCGTGGGCAGCTCTGGGGGTGTGGGTGACCTCCACACGGGCCCGAGGAAGGAGAGCTGTGCAACCCCAGGCACAATGAGTGCCTGAAGAATATCTTAGTTTATGGTGTTATTACGCAGCTGTTTATATAATCCTGCATATGTAATTGTGTGTTATAGTCAGAGCAACTAATGCCTGAAGTGTAACTTCCTGCTTATATATGTTTAGCTTCTGTAGTCAGACTTAGTACTCCTATCTAGCACATTGAGTTCCATATAATCTTTCTCTATCGTCTATATAATCATACATACGTTCTATATAATCATGCAGTTATTGTAGTTGGAGCTGTATGGACACATTTGGTGCTGATTTATGTAATCCTTGTATATGACTATATAGTCGTCTGTAGTAGGAGGAATGCCTAGAGCAGTCACAGAACAGAAGCAGTACATGGGAAAACAGCCAGACCAGGATGAGAACCAGAGACCCAGGCAGTGGTGTCCCTGCCTGAAAGGACATACGCTGTATGGCAGGCTTGGAGCAGGAGGCTCGCTCCTGATAAAGGAGTTGTAGCACCTTGCATCCAGTTCCTGTGGAAAGTTGGCCTCGGGCCTGAGATCCCTAACCGAGGGAGAAGAACCCCTCTGGTGTGACCAGTCACAGAGGCTGTACACCCTATCAGTCTTTTCTCGCTTCTGTGACAGCTCAAATCATCCTCCCATAATTATCTTAAGAGCACAAGTCTGTCAGCTCCCACTGCATTGGCTTACGGTGTCCTTCTATTAGAAACACTTTGAAGTCTCCAGCCCCCAGATGAGAAGTGTTGCACACGACACCTGCTGCACACAGCCCACCTCCTTGCGTCGGTGACCTAATGGGGGTGGACCCCTTTTTTGTACGCAGCACAGCCCCGTACTGTGCACAGCCCACCTCTCTTCCCAGGTGACAATGGGGTGGCCCTCTCACCTGCTACTCACATGATTATGTATGTCCTACCATTAAGCCTATAGATGACCTCACCACCTTTCCCCCTGCCTTGTACCTAATAAATACAGATGCTTCTGGATGTTCGGGGCCTTGCCTGTCTGCTCATAGGTGGTGTGGTCCCCCGAGCCCAGCTGTCTTTTCCAGTCCTTCTGTGTCCTGTCGCTTTCCTTCCCGGATCCTGTGCCTCAGCACAGCTATGGGGGACACTCCACGACCCTATAAGGCTGAGGCCCTACGTGGGAGCCCTGTAGCAGCAGGATTGGGGCTTCCAGTGAAGATGCGTCATGCCACAGACCTTCCTGGGGGCCGTGTGAGAGAGAGCATTTTATGGGGTGAGGGTCACAAAGGCCAGATCACCAGCCGGGCCTCATCCACCAGATGCTCGTAAAGCAGGGTGGCCACTGGCCCTCATGCCAGCCAGCTCATGGAGCAGGTGGGGCCCAGGGGAGCAAGGGGGAGATGGGCACACCGGCTTTGCACACTCCTCTCTTTTGGTGTCTGTGTTTGAAGCGTTCTGTAGTAAGAAGTTTAAAAATACAACTCGCAGTGCTGTATTTAGTGGCTGCCTCTGCCTCCACATTTTCAGCCCTGCTTGGGCAGTTCCCAACGATGCAGGGACTGATACAGGACCTGGTGCTCGAGGAGTCTGTGGCCATCTGGTTCCGTCTTCTCCATCTGTTTCTTGCCAATCCTTAGCTCCCAGGCTGGCCTCACCTGGGCTTAGCCCTTCGACACCAAAAGCCCACCTCCTGGGTAGACGGGGCAACCCCCCTTCACAGTTCTCCAGCTGATGCCCCCAGCTCAGCTCGAAACCCAGGCTGGAGTGGGGCCCGGGCCTCAGGATGTCTCTGCAGCGCCTCTGGTGCTGCCAAGCTCTCGGGAGCCAGGAACTGTAGACCCTGGCCCAGCTCCCAGCTGAGTCAGCCCTGGCACGTTCCTGGAGGAATGAATACCCACTTAGGGGAGGGCCCCAGGGCAGGTTTCCAGGCCAGGACACCCCAGAGGGCCTGGAAGGTGTGCATAGGCGACCAGGGAAGCAAGTGAGTTCGGCGTGGTGCGGCCCCCGCCCCTTCTGGCCTCGGTCTCCTGCATGTGCCTGGAGATCGGCCTGGCCTGGGCATCCTGGGCATGCAGGGCAGGCTCGGGAAAAGCCCTTCACATAGACTTTCTCACTGGTTGCTTAACCAAACCCCAAGATGTCCGTTAGCAGAGGATGAAACAGGCAGAGAGAGGTCCAGCGATGGCCGAAGGTCACAGTCAGTGAGGACCGGGCTTCCGGATCGTGACCAGGTGGCCGGGTGCCTGTCCCCACTTGTCCCCTGCCTTGGGGTCCCGCGCCCCTCCAGAGCGTGCGGAGGCTGTCCCCGGGGCGGCCGCACGAGGGCAGCACTGAGCCGGTAACCCCTGTGGTCCCGGGTGGCCGTAGCGGCCGTCCCGGCGTGCCCCGCGCATTAGGAGGCGGGACTTCCGGCGCGCGGCGCTCAAGTTCCCCAGCCGCCGGAAGCGTCCGGCGTGCGGTCGCCCCGGAGACGGCGGGGTTCGAGCCGGTAGGTGAGGGCTGCGCCTGGCAGGTGACGCGCGGGCGGCGCCGGCAGCTCCCAGCCTCTCCCCGCGGCGGGGGGCGCTGTCCCGAGGAGCGGACAGCCGAGGCCCGGGATGTGGGCGGGGCAGCGTCCGAAGTTCGGGAAACTGAGGCCCGGCGTCGCCTCGTCTGGCCGATCCCGGGCCCGCGGGGATTCCGGCCCTGGGATCCCCTCTGCTGGGAGCGGGCCGCGGCCCCCGCGGGCTCCGAGGAGGCTCTGGCGGGGCCGCCCCGGCTGCAGGGCTCCCGCGTGCGTCTCGGGACTGCGCGGCGGCCGAGCCTCGAAGCGGGGCTTCCCTCGGTCCCGCTCTGCACCGCGGGAGAGCAGGACGGCCTGAAGCTGTGGCCGTGGGTTTAGCTTTCACGGGGATCACGGGCTGTGTCATTGCCCTGTGGTGACTTTGCCGCCGCATCACACACCTTCTGCACTGCGTGGCGAGTTTCCGAGTGGCTTGGCGTGGGGGCAGAGCCTGGACAGTGGGGCCTGCCCTTGTTCATCCACTCCCTGCCTGCTGGCTGTAGCCTCAGAGCAGGCAGGAGACGTTCTTGGGGCTTAGGCTCTTGGCAAAGCACGTATCAGGAGTTCGTGGGGTACAGAAGGGTCTGAGGTTGCAGCCCCAGGGCTCCCGGATTCTCAGCCTGGCCTCCTAAGCTTTCTCTGGGGAGCTCAGTGCCCACTGCCGAGCAGGCTCCTGCCGTCCCATGGGGGTGGGTGTGTTTGAAGGAGAATGGGACCCCGGCATGGTCTTGGTGTCTAACATCTTGGGATGTGTTTTGGAAGCAGGCGAAGTCATGGATATAGACGCTGAAAGAGAGAAGATAACACAGGAGATCAAGGAGCTGGAAAGGATTTTGGACCCTAGCTCCTCGGGCATGCACATGGAAACCTCAGAGTCAAGTTTGGAGTCAGATTCTGAAGCAGGTGAGCCCCTTGCACCTGGCCTCCTGGGGGCCTGGTTAAGAACAGCTGGTCTGCCCTCTGGGTTCCTCTCAGGTACATTAGGGTGTGATGGTAGCTGGCTGTGATCTCTCTGGCATGTAATCCTAGGGACTCCAGAGGCTGAGGCGAGAGGATTGTTCAGTCCAGGAGTTCATGTCCAGCCTGGACGTGACGCGGCAAGAGCCTGTCTCTGAAAATAATAATGATGATAAAATGATGGCTGGGGCTGCTTGGACCAGGCCCAAATTTTTACCATCACTGGTACCTGCCTGTCCTCCAGCCAGAGAGCTTCTGACAGTTCCTTCTTTGCTGGCCCCTGAACCTGCTGGCTGTGTGTGCACTGTGGGTTCTAGGCCTCCTAGGGTCTGGCCCTGGCCACCTTGGCCCTGTGCGGGGCTTCTGGAGTGGACCATCCTGGGAGGAGAGGGCAGGCCTGGAGCTGACTCAGCAGCAGCCTGGACAGTCCGTGCCTGGATGGTCACCACAGCTCACACCCCCACGATCTCTTCTCCTCTCAGCCTCCCCTCCCCACAGACCCCACCCCACAGCCTGCCCTCCCAACCTGCTCCCCTCCCCACGGGCTCCCCTCTGTGGTCCCTTTGGCTTTTGAGCCTCCCCTCAACCCCACCAGCTGCTGCCTTGCTAGGAGACCTCTCAGCCTTGCTGCCCCTCTCCCCAGACCCAGGGCCTGCCTCCGAGGCAACCTGCTGTCTTCCTCCTGTGGGCAGGGCCTCTGTGTCTGTGCCTCCCTCAGACTGGCTGAGCTCTGGAAGGATAGGCCCATTCCGCTAAAGCTTCCCCATCTGTCTCTTCAGTGCAAAACAGCCTGTGCCATCCAGGGAGCCCTGTGGAGCGTTGTCCCGTGTGCCTGGGGCTCCCCAGTGTGCAGTCAGAGTCCTCTCTGTCTGGGTGACTCTGCCTTGGTCCAGTGCCCACCCCACTGTTGGGGAGGGAAGCTCCGCTCACTGCAAGCCTCAGCCTGAGGCTCTCTCACCACCTCACGGCCCCAGGCCTTCTCTCCTCTGCCCTGCCCAGGAAGCAGTGGTGAGCTGCCCTGCCCAGGAAGCAGTGGTGAGCTGCCCTACCCAGGAAGCAGTGGTGAGCCACCCCGACCCAACGCTGGTCCCAGCACTGTGCTGTTTGTGTTTATGACAGATTCGCCGCCTTCTGAGGACCTGGATGCTGCTGATGCCCTCATCTCGGTAACTGCCGCCTGACCTGGCTGTGCCACTGAGCCAGGCCTGCCACCACCTTCCCCAGTGGCCTGGGGGGAGGGGGTGTGGTTTGAACCATATTGGCGGTTTTTCTGCATTGTAAAAATGATGCCCCTTTGTTATAAAAGCAATCAGAAAAAGCATCTGTCACTGAAATTGTCCCTAGAAATAACCACCGTTAACAGCTTGGTGATCACATCCCTTGGCGTTTTTCTGAGCTTATACCTGTCTCCAGTGTGGCATCTGTCACTCGTGGCAGTTGTGAGTCGTGCACCTGGGTCCTGCCTCTCACAGCTCACTTCTCAGTGCCTCAGATTCCTGTGGGATAGTGGGGATATTTACAGCACACATCAGTTAACACGAGCAGCTGTACAAAAATTAGCTGGTACAGTGGCGCATGCCTGTGGGAGGCTGAGGTGGGAGGATCACTTGAACCCAGGAAGTTGAGGGTCCAGTGAGGTGTGATTGCACCACTGCCCTCCAGCCTGGGTGGTGGAGTGAGACCTTGTCTCAAAACACGAGAGAACTACACGAGCACCTAAACAGCACGTGGCGGCCGCCCCGTGAGGCCAGCCGCCGGAGCTGCCTTTTGTTTCCTTTGGAAAACGTTTGCCGTTTGCTACCTTTTTCCGCCAAGGCCATAGGTACTGAGTTAGCTCACGGTTTAGCGGCCGTGTGCTCCGTCGTCTGTCGGCGCGCGCCCCCTGGAGCCAGGTGTTTTCACCGCGTCTGCTTCCTGGCTCTGCAGAGACTTGCTGTTGATGGACACGATGGGCTCGGGACAGAGTTCAGGGTCGCCCCAGCCCTGGCGCGTTCCAGCAGGGGGCTCTACCTGCCGTGGATTAGGAGAGGCTCACGCGGGCCGCCTTGAGAGCGACCAGCCACTCCCAGGCCCAGACACCCTCCTGCTGCCCACTAGGACCTCTTCCTGCTTCCACATTGGCTGCTGCTGTGCCGGGCTGCCTCGGTGGAGGCCCAGCAACGGGCAACTGGCTCCCGAGGACGGGACCGTCCACGTCTCATCTCCTTATGTGCCGTTTCTGGCTCGTAACCAGGAAGAAGAAAGGTGGGGTGAAGCCAGCAACGATGAGGACGACCCCAAGGATAAAACCCTCCCTGAAGACCCAGAGACCTGCCTGCAGCTGAACATGGTCTACCAGGAGGTCATCCAGGAGAAGCTGGCGGATGCCAACCTGCTGCTGGCCCAGAACCGGGAGCAGCAGGTCGGATGGGTTGTGCCCACATTGCCCACGCCTCCCCACCCCAAGAGCCTCCCACAGCTGGGCCTCCCAGGTCCAGTGCTCCCCAGTGCTCTGCCTCGCCCCTGCCCCGGCTCCCCTTCTCCACAGGGAGAGTCGTTGCTGCCGGCCCACAGGGGATCCTTGCCTCATGTCTGTCACAGGAGGAACTCATGAGGGATCTGGCTGGGTCCAAAGGCACCAAGGTGAGGGACGGCAGGAGCCTGCCCCCGAGCACATACATGGGGCACTTCATGAAGCCGTATTTCAAGGACAAGGTTACCGGCGTGGTGAGTAGCCGAGGCCCTGCTCTCATCAGAAGGGCTCTTGTCCCCAGGTCCTGCTGTGGGGCGTGGTGAATTCCCTTGAGCTCAAGATAACTGGTCAACCTCCTTAAAACCGCCTCATCTGTGGTGGGCAGGCTGGCCTCTGCACTGCGCTGCACTGGGCTCCAGGGCGTGCCCCCGTGAAGCGATGCACAAGCCCTCATGTAGGCGCCCATGTTTCGTGTCCAAGGCTCAACTCCGCCTCGTGGAGGGGCCGACAGGGTTGCAACCCTCAGCCTCACAGTGGGGGAGGACGGGAACCAGGGGCCTGAGTCCTGCTGTGGGCTCCGGAGGGAGCACACGTGGTCTGTGCCTGTGGTGATACGGTGCGCCCTGACAGGGGCCCCCTGCCAACGAGGACACGAGGGAGAAGGCTGCCCAGGGTATCAAGGCTTTCGAGGAGCTCCTCGTGACCAAATGTAAGAGCCCTGGCCGGCCCCATGGCACCCCTGAACTTGGGGGCCCCTCCCTACAGCCTTGCCTTCTCTGGTTTCTCCCCAAGTTGTCAGACCTCTCTCTGCTGTGACCTCATGGTTCCTCAGGCTTTGACCACTGGGACCGGCCCCTTGACCCCTGCCTTTCCCACGCTGAGCAGATCCTTTCCAGAATGTCAGTCATGAGGGGCTGGCCGGGCCCCACCCCACCCTCTTGCTCGGTCTCCCCGCCCGGTCTTGGGCCGCAGAGCCTTGGTGACCGTGCACTGAGCTGGCACCACGCCATGGGTGGAGCTGTGTCTGCTGGGTGGAGGGGCTGCATCTGTGAGCCCCCCCACCGCCTCGGGAAATGCACACTCATTGCTGGGCTGGGCCATGGATAGGACGAAGACCCTCAGTGATGGCACTGTGGCTTCTCCTCAGGGAAGAACTGGGAAAAGGCCTTGCTTCGAAAGTCAGTGGTGAGTGACCGCCTGCAGCGATTGCTTCAGCCCAAGTTACTGAAGTAAGTCTAAAAACAAAGGTCAGAAACAGCCTTTAGGCTGGGTGCAGGGCTCACACCTGGAGTCCCTGCGCTTTGGGAGGCCAAGGCAGGAGGCTCTCTTAAGCCCAGGAGTTCAAGGCCAGCCTGGGCAGCATGGCTTGTGAAAAAGTAAAATCAAAAAGTAGACAAATGAGCTGTGTGTGGTGGTGCATGCCTGTGGTCCCAGCTACTTGGGAGGCTGAAGTGGGAGGATCGATTGAGCCCAGAAGGTCAAGGCTACAGTGAGCCAAGATTATACCACTGCGTTCCAGCCTGGGCGGCAGAGCAAGACCTTGTCTCAAAAACAAACAAAACAGCCTGTCCCAGCCAACAGGAAAAGTCGAGGCTGGGCGGTGTGGGCTAGGCGGAGGTTCAGCTTAGCTGCATGCCTCTGGCCTGCAGCGGCTTCTGCCAGCCATGGAGAGAGGCTGATGCCTGGATTTTTATGCCCTTTCCCCCGCCAAGGGGGCTTCCTCATGGCCGGGCGACTAAGTGCGGGGTCAGTCCACACGGCCACAGTGAGGTGTGCGGCTCAGGCAGCTTCTCTTCTCTGGGCCTCTCTTCCCCATTCCTGAAACCTGTTTGCTGATGGGGTGGTAAGGCGTGACTAAAGTGAGGCACAGTGTGGCCTTACTGTCAGCGCTTGATGGCAAGTGCTGCTGTCTGGATGACTGTGGTCCAGGACAGAGGGGCCCCCAGAGCCAGGAGACCCAGCAGCACCGGGCTGGCCGCGGTCCCCACGTGTCTTCTGTGCGGCCACCATGAGGTCTCAAGGCAGAGGGGGTGCCGTGAGGATCGAAGCAGCCAGGGCATCTCTGGGCACTGAGAGGCCTTTGCCCAGGCCCGGGGTCCTGGGACCCGCCTGCCCCCTGTGGCTTGATGTGCATGGTCAGGGTTTGCAGTGTTGATCGTGGGTCCCTCCTCAGGCTTGGGGAGAGCTGGGTTTTCCTCCCTGGCCTGCGCTGGGGAGTGGTTCTTCACTGTGGCCTCACAGCCTCCAGCCTCCTCACTGGGCATGAGTCAGGACATCTGCCCACAGCTGCATCTCTGTGCCAGGTGCAGCCTGGGAGCTGGGGCACTGAGGTTTGGGAGGACTGTGGCGAGCTCCGAGATGTGGGGGCCAACAGGTGGTAGCCTCTGCTTCAGCAGGCACTGCAGCCCTTCCAACCCGGGTGGCAGCCTAGAGGGTGCCGCAGCTTCCCTCCCGAGGCAGGGAAGGTGAGGAAGACTCAGAATCCCAGCTGAGCTCACACTGCTTGCCCTGTACCTCGAAGAGAACCCGTCCCGCCCAGCAGCCCTCAGGCCCGCGGCCCTTCCACCTCTGTTCTGCTTTGCAGGCTTGAGTACTTGCACCAGAAGCAGAGCAAAGTCTCCAGTGAGCCAGAGAGGCAGGTCCTGGAGAAGCAGGCCAGGGAGGCCGAGAAGGAGATCCAGGACATCAAGTGAGGGGTTCCTCCCGGGAGGGCCCAGGGGAGCTCCCGGGCCAGGCATGGCACCAATGCCCTCATCCCTTCCTCCAGCCAGCTTCCTGAAGAGGCCTTGCTGGGAGACAGGCTGGACAGCCACGACTGGGAGAAGATTTCCAATATGAACGTAAGTCAGGGGCAGGTCTGAGCCCCAGGCAGCTCAGCACAGCTCCTTATAGCCCGGGGGTGGGGGTGGGGGGGTTGGAATTGGGGGTTAAGGCCACACCCCCACCCCGAGCTACAGTTTCCATGTGACACCCCTGCCACCCCGGCGAAGCTCATGTCCAGAGGTCGGGAGTGGCGAGTGGCCTCGTGAGGGCCTCCTGCTGGTGCACGGCTCCTTCTGAGACAGTCGCAAGGCCCCCGGCCTTGCATTCGGACCCAAGTCTACGTGTTTGGCTATGCAAGGCCCAGTGAGCCGGACGAAGATTCCGCTTACTGGCAGCCGTGGAAGCCTGCAGCTGGCTGGCGAGAACAACGGCTCAGCCTGGAGCCGTGTCCAGGGCGCCCCTCGGGTCAGTGGCCTGCAAGGCTGTAGGGTCCGGCCCTGCTAGGGTCATGGGGTGTCCCCTATCGCTGTGCTGAGGCACAGGCTCCAAGAAATGAGACAGAACACCGAAGGACTGGATAGGAGCAGCTGGGCTCGGGGCCAACACCACCAAAAGCAGAGACAGGCGAGGTCCCCAGCGTCCAGGCGCGTCTGTACCATTAGATACAGGTTGTGGGGAAGGGTAGTGAGTAAGGTCATCTTAAGGACAGTGATAGGGTCAAGACAGTCACGTGAGCGATAAGTAAGGGGTCCTCCCCTATTAGGCCACCGAGGCAAGGAGATGGGCAGTGTGCAGCAAGGAGGGTGCAGTGTGCAGCATCTCCGATCTAGGGGCAGGCTACTTCTAGGAATTTCTACAGGAGAATGCTCTGAGTCAGCACAGTCGCAACAGCTGATGGTGTACAACCACCCAGGCACGATTACACCAGAGGGGTTTTGAGCCCTCGGACGTACGCGAGGTTGCCAGCCTGAGGCCAGCTTTCCACGAGAACTGGATGCAAGAAACTACACCTCCCTTTCAGGAGGAGTGACTCTTGCTCCAAGCCTGCCATACAGCAGGTATCTTTACGATGTTGAACGCGGCTGCCTGGGCCGGCCTGCCGTGTAACACATGCCCTTTCAGGCAGGAGCACTGCCGCCTGGGCTGTTGATTCCTGTCCTGGTGTGTGGCTGTTCCCTAGTTCATGCTCTGGAATGTTTCTGCTCTACACAGTCCTCCGACTATAAACTAAGGGGTGATTATCTGTGAAGAGATTATATACAAAAGGAAATAAACGAGCAGTAAGATACTCTTCAGGCACCAGCTGTGCCGGGGGTCTGCTTAGCTCTCCCTCCTCAGTGCCCGGAAGAGGGGTCACCCACACAAGGCTAAACATCCCTCCTCAGTGCCTGGAAGGGGGGTCACCCGCATGAGGCTGAACGTCTCTGTTGGTGCAGTTTGAAGGCAGCCGTAGCGCAGAGGAGATCCAGAAGTTCTGGCAGAACTCGGAGCACCCCAGCATCAACAAGCAGGAGTGGAGCGGGGAGGAGCTGGAGCGGCTGCAGGCGATCGCGGCTGCACACGGCCACCTGGAGTGGCAGAGGATTGCAGAGGAGCTCGGGGTAAGGACCCGCCCCGGACCCCGGGGCCAGGAGGCCTGACGGTGTGTGGGCTCCATAGCGGGAGGCTTCCAGACAAATGGGGGGTCCCTGGTGCTCGCTAGCTGCCAGGTCTCTGTGTGTCGTCACGTCTAGGCCATGGCCCTGGGGAAGGCAGCCCGCCCACCTCTCTGACACGGGCCTCTCCAGGCAGCGGTGTGGGCTCAGCTTACCCGCGTTTGTCGCCTCTTTTACTTTTAGTCTTTTGTCTCTGTCAACCTCAGGAGTTTATTTTGTCGACATTTCTAAAGAACACTTTTTCCTGGTTTGAGTTGTTTTTGCCATCTTTCTGGTTTCCTGCATGGGGACTCAGTTCTTCACGCATGTGGGCCTGTGTCTTGAGAAGGAAGGCTTTTCAGGCCATGTTCTTCTGCGAGCAGCTCGGTGTGAACGGTTTTTCATGATTCCAGAGTAGCCCCATTTCCATTTTTACTGTCTCTTTGGACCTAGGTTCATCTCGGAATCTGTGTTTCCGTTTTTAAATAGTTGGGTTTCTGGGAGTTCTTATGGTGGTTCTTTATCTGAATTTGACTGGAACTTGACCTAGGGCCGTGATCGGTAGAATCTCCATTTTTCAGATGTGTTTCTTGATGGCCGAGCACCTGATTATAGCAGACCAAGCTAAACTCGCCAAAACTGTTTTTAAGAGAAAGTTGTTTATCTCTGTACGTAGGGCCTAATCTATATCAGTTACCCAATTGAGCCAAGGCTGGTCTTGAACTCCTGGCTCAAACATTCCTCCTTGCCTCAGCCTCCCAAAGTGTTAGGATCCCAGGCATGAGTGCTGTGCCCAGCCCACATAACTTTATGATGGCTTTGGTGTTTTGGGTTTGTTTTTTTTTTTTTTTTTTTTTTTTTTTTTTTTTGAGACAGAGTCCAGCTCTATTGCCCAGGCTGGAGTGCGGTGGTGCCATCATGGCTCCCAGCCATGATGACTGTATTTACTTTGCAAATTATGTCTTTTTTAAAAGTCATTATCGACTGGGCATGGTGGCTGACGCCTGTAATCCCAGCATTTTGGGAGGCCGAGGCGGGCGGATCATCTGAGATCAGGAGTTTGAGACCAGCCTGGCCTACATAGTGAAACCCTGTCTCTACTAAAAATATAAAAAATTAGCTGGGCGTGGTAGCATGCACCTGTAATCCCAGCTACTCGGGAGGCTGAGGCAGGAGAATTGCTTGAACCCAGGAAGTGGAGGTTGCAATGAGCGGAGATTGTGCCACTGCACTCCAGCCTGGGCAACAGTGTGAGACTCTGTCTCAAAAAAAAAAAAAAAAAAAAAAAGAAAAGACCTTCTCCCTTTATCTTCCTTATTCTTTTTAAGCTTAAATTCCATCTTCCTGGTAAAAACGTTGCCACTCCTGCTTTATTTTACATTTTTTACCCATCCCTGTATTTTTGGCCTTTTAAAGAATCATTTGAGGTGTTCATGAAAGCAGCATGCGGCTGGGTTTTGCTTTGTCACCCACCTGGCCAGCCTCTGGCTTTACGGGGAGGGTCAGTGTTCCTGGTGCCCTGCCTGGGTCTGGTGTGTTGAGCTGTGTCACTCTGTGGCCTCTTTCCCTTCCACTCTGCCTTGCTGGTTTGATGAAACCATGAGTGCAGCCTTTCTCCCTGTGAACCCTCTGTCTCCCATCCCATCAATGGCTTTCTCTCCTTGGAACACGCAGTCAGACATGCTTCTCTGTGAATAACGGAAATTTGTGATGCCAGCAGTTCCCCCACCAGATTCTTTCTCCTTCCAGGGAAGTGTTCTGGCCCTGTCACAGCAAGGCTAAGGCCTCGGCAGCCTCATTCCAGCCTCCTGTGGGGTGGCTGCTGTCAGCTCCCCCAGCAGGGCCTGAGCTCTGAACCCCGCCCTACCCTCCAGTCCTTTGCCCTCCCAGATCCTTCGGCAGGCTTGGGATGGGTGTGATAAGGACCTCTGTTTCCACCTGTGGGGAAGTTCCAGCCTGAGTGAGGAGGACAGGTGAGGCCCTAGGCCTGTCGATGCCCCCGGAAGTGCTCCCGTGTGGGCCTGGTGGCTGGGGGAACGAGGCTCACACATATGACTAGGATTGCCCTGTGGCTCACATAGCTGGGGCTGGTGGTTTTCTTTGTGGTGAATGAGTCTCAGATTGACCTGTGCTGTAATGAGCTGGGAAGGACTTGATAGGGAAGAAAGCCTTGGAAGCAAACCTCACAGCTCAGCAACACCACGTCCAGCCCTGGGTGCCCTCTGTCACCCAGCAGCTCTCTTTAAGAGAACAGGGTTCTGGTAACACTCATCTTGGAAAACCCCTTACAAGAATTGGACACCTGGTCTGCCGTGTAGACTGAAGGTGGGCTTGCTGTACTGAGCCACGCAGGGAAGCTGGGAGAGTCACTTCGGGGCCCTCCCTTCTGAGGGCATCTCCTGAGACATGGATGCCACGCCAAGGGTTGTCCCACCCCATACCCCGTAGCTGGAGACACCCCGGGGCTGGAGAAGGGAGAGAAGGTGCTAGCACATGCATTAAAGAGCACAGCATGTGCGGAGCAGAGCGTGTGCGGAGCAGCACGCTTCCTGGCCCCTGCCCAGCTGGGAGCTTCTCTGTTGAGTGAGCTGCAATGTGGTTTTGGAGTCACATCAGTCACCTGCTGTGAATTCTTCATATTTTCTTAAGTAAAGGTTTTGATTCTTCTTACCTGGTCTTTCCGGTCCTCTTTAGTGGGTGTAGTGTCTTCCCACCCTGGGGTGCACTCCATCAGCCCACAGGAGTCTGGGAGAAGAAGAGCCGGGGCCTGCAAAAGGGTCACCCTGGTGCCTAATGGGCCCACCTGTGGCCTGGAGCACTCAGAGCCAGATCTGGAAGTCCTGCAGCGCAATAACACCCATTTGTTTTTGTTTGGGCCTTGGGAAGACCAGCCGCAGCGCCTTCCAGTGCCTGCAGAAATTCCAGCAGCACAACAAAACCCTGAAACGCAAGGAGTGGACGGAGGAGGAAGACCGCATGCTCACACAGCTGGTGCAGGAGATGCGGGTCGGCAGCCACATCCCCTACCGCAGAAGTGAGACCCCCACATCCCCTACCGCAGAAGTGAGACCCCCACATCCCCTCCCGTAGAAGGGAGACCCCCACATCCCCTTCTGCAGAAGCGAGACCCCCCACATCCCCTCCTGCAGATGTGAGACACCCCCCACCACATCCCCTCCCGCAGAAGTGAAACGGCCCCCCACAGTCCCTCCCGCAGAAGTGAGACGCCCCCACATCCCTTCCCGCAGAAGTGAGACCCCACCACATCCCCTCCCGCAGAAGTGAGATGCCCCCAACATCCCCTCCCGCAGAATTGAGACGCCCCCACATCCCCTCTTGCAGAAGTGAGACACCCCCCCTACATCCCCTCCCAAAGAAGTGAGACGCCCCCTGCACATCCTCTCCCGCAGAAGTGAGACGCCCCCCAACATCCCCTCCCGCAGAAGTGAGACGTCCCCCAACATCCCCTCCCACAGAAGTGAGACGCCCCCCACATCCCCTCCCGCAGAAGTGAGACGCCCCCCACATCCCCTCCTGCAGAAGTGAGACACCCCCCACCACATCCCCTCCCGTAGAAGTGAGACGCCCCCCACGTCCCCTCCCACAGATGTGAGATGCCCCCCCACGTCCCTTCCCTTCCCAATGTCTCTCAGGTTGTCACGGGGCCCCACATCAGGACAGTGGAGATGTGCAGGGGAAATTTCACAGAGAAGCAGCAAGATGTGCCAGGGCTTAAACAGGCCTGGCTGTTCCACAGTTCACCTCTTGATGACTAAAGTGACTCTTTGTATGGGACCCCCCTGTCCCTAGCTGTGTACTGTATGGTGTGTGACTTGGCCCCATGGGACCCCACCCATTCCTCTGTTTCTAGTCGTCTACTATATGGAAGGGAGGGACTCCATGCAGCTGATCTATCGGTGGACCAAGAGCTTGGATCCTGCCCTGAAGAAGGGGTGCTGGGCCCCCGAGGAAGATGCTGTAAGTGTGCTGTGCCCTGGGAGAACTGGCCTCTGGGAAGGTGGCAGGACTGTGCTCAGTGGCTGCGGGGCCCCAGTGGGCCCTTGTCTGACTGGGTCCAGGGTGAGGAGGCTGTGGCCGTGCCTGCAGAGAGTTCACTTGTCTGCCTGTCCTGTCCTGCAGAAGTTGCTTCAAGCTGTTGCCAAATATGGGGAGCAGGATTGGTTTAAAATCCGGGAAGAGGTGCCAGGTAGGAGCGATGCCCAGTGCCGAGATCGGTGAGTTGCACAGTGCTGGGTGAGGGAGGGGCTGGCGTGGGTTGAAAGCTGACCCTCGTATAGGCCTTGGGCAGGCTGGGCCACGGCAGCCAGGAGGGATTTGCTATCACAGGAGCAGAACGCAGCCCGTGGGGCTTGGTGTGCCAGGGTTGACCTGTGTGGGAAGCAGGAGAAGCTATTTTTTTCCAACCTTGACTTGGCTTTATTGCGTGTTTGCCATGAGCAGGGCACGGTCGGCACTGGAGACGGCGCCCTGGTCGGCCTATCCTGACCCTTGTTGTCAGATTCTCCCAGACCGCTGATGGGCAGGGTCCCTGGGCAGACGCTGCAGCCCCCCGCTTTGCTTGTCCTGGTCCTTTCAAAAACAGCGTTACTGAGATAATTCACATGCTGTGTGGTGCGTTCATTTAAAGTCTGTCGTTCAAAAGCCAGGCGCAGTGCTCATGCCTGTAATCCCAGCACCTTGGGAGGCCAAGGCAGGTGGATCACTTCACTTGAGGCCAGGCCAACATGGCAAAACCCCATCTCTACTAAAAATACAAAAATTAGCCTAGTGTGGTGATATGCACCTCCTGTGGTCCCAGCTACTCTGGAGGATGAGGCAGGAGAATCGCTTGAACCTGGGAGGTGGAGGTTGCAGTGAGCCGAGATCACGCCACTGCACTCCAGCCTGGGCGAGAGAGCCCAGGCTCTCAAAAAAATATAAATAAATTAATTACAGTGAAGTGGTTTTTAGTATTTAGTATTCGTTGAGCTGTGCAGCCATCACCAAAATCAGTTGTAAAACGTATCACCCCAAAAAGAAAGCTGTTCAACAAAAAACCACCCAATCTCAACCTGGCAAAGAACTCGAGTGGCTGTCTCTCCTAAGGAGATGCACAGGCAGCCAGCAAGCACGTGCAGGGATGCCCAGCGCTGAGTCACGGGGGAGGCACAGGTCAAACACGTGCGTTGGGATAGCTGTTAATCTAAAAAAGTCACTGTGTTGGCAAGGATGTAGAGAAATTAAACTTTTGTGCATTTTGGTGGGAATGTAAAATGGTCCAGCGTCTGTGGAAAAGGATGGTGGTTCCTCAAAGAGTTAAACATAGAATTATACCCCCAAGATTGATAAGCATAGAATCCACAAGAATTGAAAGCAGGAACTCAGATACAGCAGTGTGCACGGTTCATCTTTCACCAGTAACACTTTGGAAACAGCCCAAGCATTCGTCAGCCGATGAGTAGAAAACAAACTTTTCATGCAGTGCAGTATCATTTAGCCTTAAAAGAGTGGAATGCTAACATAAATATATTTCTGCAAATTCTGGTACAATGTGGGTGAACCCTGAAAACATTCTGAACATTCCCCTGCCCGTTTTTACACAGACACATTGTTCATTTATCTTAGGTGTATCCTGGGAGTGGCATTGTAACTCAGTGTTTAACCTTCTGAGGAATGGGGGACCGTTTTCCAAAGGGGTTGAACCGTTTCGTGTTCCCACTAGTGATGTCTCAGGCTTCCGGTTCTCCACGTTCTCACCAGCACTTGGGATCCGTCTGTGATTCTTAGCCACCCTCTCCGGTGTGAAGTGACGTGTCACTGTGGTTTTCACGTGCGCCTTCCCGTGGCTAATGATGTGGGGCCTCTTGTCATGTGCTTGGTGACTGTTCACAGAAATAGATTTTTAGAGGAATGTCTTTGTTTAAGTCCTTGGCCCATTTTTAGCATTATTTGTCTTGGTATTACCGACTTCTAAGAGTTCTCTGTGTGTTCCAGATGCAAGTTTCTTAACAGACACGTGATTTGCAAACGTTCTCTCCTGGTCTGTCCACTGTGTCCTCCGGTGTCCTCTGGGACACAAAGCTTTGGACTCTGATGAAGCCCGCTTTATTGATAGCTTTCTTTTGTCGTTTGCACTTTCAGTGTCATCGCCAAGAAACCGTGAAAGAAGCTGGGGCGGCAACGGGCAGCGTCTCAGCGTCTAACAGGTTCTTTTCTTTCCATGTCACTTTCAGGTATCTCAGGAGATTACATTTCAGTCTGAAAAAGGGGCGGTGGAATTTAAAAGAAGAGGAACAGTTAATTGAATTAATAGAAAAATACGGTGTTGGTAAGTTGTTGATAGTTTTTCTAGTTTCTTTTTTTGTTTTTTAGAAATGAGATCAAGATCAAGACAGAGCAAGCTCTGTCACCCGGGCTGGGGTGCGGGGGCACAACCATAGCTCACTGAGGCTGCAAGCTTTTGGGTTCATGCCATCCTCCCACCTCAGCTTCCCAAGTAGCTGGGGCTGCAAGTGTGTGCCGCCACACCCGACGAGCTGAGTGTTTTATAGCTAATGCTGCTTCTATCTGTGATGTCTCCTTAGACTAAATTCTAGCTGTGGTACTGCCATGTGCAGGGACACACCGGCTGCTAAGGCTCTGCCCTGTGAGAGCAGCACCTGTGCTCCCCCACCGATGCATGGAGAGTGTGGATCATGGGGGAGGGCTGAGGCGAGCCGATATGTGAGGGCCTCGGGGTGTGCTTGGGACGATTCTCCGTTCTCACACGTTTGCCAGAACTTTCCTAAGGGCCTGAGCGTCCACTGAGAGTCAGATGTGCCCACCATGTTTGACCCTGCTTCTCACACAGTGTGAGGGTGTGCAGGAAGCCCCACTCTGGTAACGGGACCCACGGCAAGTCTCCTAGAGAACAGTGAGTCCATCTTGGGGACGAATCTTTGGATGACGCCATTTCCTTGGGGTTTGGCCTTTGTAGGTCACTGGGCAAAAATAGCTTCTGAGCTGCCCCATCGGTCCGGCTCCCAGTGTCTGAGCAAGTGGAAGATCATGATGGGGGTGAGGCATTCACTCGTTCTTTACCTGTTACTGGGGGGCCCAGCAGGAGGAGGGAAGGAGAGAGGTGGGTGGAGGGAAGCGGGGGGCATTTGGTTTCTGGCCCTGGCTTTTGTTCTGGGTGGCCAAGGGCAGAGGGAGACCCTGACTTGGCAGCAGCTCTTGACCCCGGAGGTGCCCTTATTGGACATCTCGCCGAAGGGCTGGCCTGCTTGCTGCTGTCATTGGCAAACCCTGGGAAGCCGAGGCCTCCAAGTAGCCCCCTCCTCCCCTCAGAAGCAGGGTCTCCGGAGGCGGCGTCGGAGGGCCCGTCACAGGGTCCGCTGGAGCTCTAGCAGCAGTAGCAGCAGCAGTGGAGGCAGCAGCAGAGTGGGCAGCAGCAGCAGCAGTGACGAGGAGGAGCCGGAGCAGGCACAGGCCGGGGAGGGTGGCCTAGCGCCGCTGTCCCCGCAATACTGTGGTCCCGGACATGGATCTGTGGGTTCCTGCCAGGCAGAGCACCAGAGGGGCAGGGGATTGGCTGGGATGCCCCACTGCCTCCCCCAGCCCTCTCAAGGGGTCCAGTGGCAGCAAGGAAGCTTCTACCACACCCACGGCTCCTGGAGAGGAGAGGAGCCCAGCACAGGCCCCTGCCAGGGCCCACAGCCCCGTACCGAGAACTGCCCAGGCCTCCCACTTGGCAGACACTCAACCAGCGGGTGCAGAGAAGCAGGCCCCCGAGGTAGGCCAGGCCCCAGGTGCACCATGGGAAGTGCACTCCCGGCGCTCGCCAGGGCGGGTGCTCGGGGACCATGCGGCAGCTGGGCCCCAGAGTTCGTGCGATCACAACATGCTGCTTCTGGCTGAGCTCTGGAGAGCTGTGCGTGGTGGGGGGCTTGTTGGGGAAGCCTGCATTTTTCCCAGCTTGTTGACAGTTTCATGGACGTGGCTGAATGGGCACTTGGGCCTGGAGGCATTTCTGAAACATTTCACCCCCAAGGCAGGGTGGGGGAGGGCAGAGGCGGCAGTGGGAGGAGCCCCCTTCCCCGCCATGAGCCTACACACTGGAGACCCTTTTTGGGGAGGGCCTCTCCACTGACTTGGGCCCAGCGTGGCTCATGGTGGTCTGCCTGTCTTGGTCTTCGCCATGTCAGGCCCTGGGCGCAGGCCCGGCTCTGGCCGTGTCTGTGGAGCCATCAGAGTTGAACAGGCTGGTCTGTCCTGGGAGGCGCTGGTGGTGACAGTGGACACTGAGGCTACTGACAGAGCCAAGGGCCTGGCACCCGCTGCTGCACACTCAGTGTCTCCCTGGGCTGGGGCCTTGCCCAGAGGAGCTGCTGTCAGCCTGAGAAGCTGAATGGGGGGCGTGGGACCCTGTTACTCTCCCAGGAGACAGGCCTCAGGGGAGGCCCTGCCTGGGGACCCTGCTCTTCCCACGGTGAACGTTCTGTGAGGCAGAGCTGGGCTCTGCACAGTCACACTTTGGAGCCTGGGTGAAGAGGCGGCCGTGTCTGGGCAGTGTGGGGAAGGCCCCCACGTGCCCCACCTCAGGCAGGTTTCTCATCAGTGTGGGAGGCGTCTGCCGACGGTGCCCATGGAGACCGTGCTGAGGGTGCTCAGGGCCAACACACCTGTTCAGAGCTGCACACAGGTGAGGCCTACTGTGGACACGCACACCCACACCATCACGTGCCCTGCCCTGGTCTGAGCGATTCTTCTCCCCTTACGGTCACACCCTGACGGGGTCGGAGGGCAGCACTGGCCGCCGAGCTGGGTCCACTCCAGGGGCCGGGCCTGGCCAGGGGCTCCAAGTGCCACCTTCTTACAGAAAGAGCAGCTGGGGCAGCCGCCCCTGCGCAGCTCATCCCCAGGGGTCAGCCCTGGTGACAGCATGGCCCGGTCCCATGTGCGCTGGCTGCGGCACAGAGCCGCCCAGAGCGGGCAGCGGCGCTGGAGACAGGCTCTGAACCGGAGGCTCCTGGACCGCCGGCTGCTCCTGGCTGTGACCCCCTGGGTGGGGGACGTCGTCCTGCCCTGCACACAGGCTCTCCGGAGACCCGCCGCAGTGCAGACTCGAGGTATGGCTTGGGGCTTCCTTGGGAGCCTCCTAGGGGCTGGGGTGAGGATGAGGAGTCCATCCAGCCTAGCAGATAGTGGTCACTTTTTGGGGTGGGCCCCATCTCTGGTGAGCTTTCTGTTCCTGAAGGTTTCCAGGACACCCAGTCAGAGTCAGCCCTCCCTCCCTGCCCCACCACTCTTCCTGGGCCAAGCACGTGGTAGCTGGGCTGACTTTTTGTGTGGTGACAGGGCTGAGAGGGCCCCCCGCTTTGTCCAGCCATGGTTGTGTAGTGCTGGTGCCAAGGCCTCTCCTCCCAGCCCGGCCTGGCTCCCAATCCTGAGGGCTCCTGGAGCCTTCTCAAAAGCCACATTGGAGCTGAGGCTGCTTACCGTCTGTCCCCCTGTGCCCACAGCGGATGACCTCAGGGAGCAGCTGCAGCAGGCCCACCTGACCAGCACCCCCGTGTTTACCTTGTTCACCCAGGTAGGCCGCTCGGACAGTTTCATCTCTCTTTGCCTTGTGAAAAGGTTTTGGTGAAGTTTTGAAATCTGCCATATATTCATTCCTTAAAATCCCGTTATCTAAAGTTTCTGGCCTTGAAAATGTACTTTCCATGCCTTACACTGTCAGCAAGTGAACGCGCGGGGGCGCAGGACAGAGCCTGCTGCCACCATTGCGACAAACGCTGTCTGTAGAGCGGCCCCTGGGGCCCCTGCGTGAGTGGAAGATGGGGAGGGCGGAGAGCAGGCCGGGCATGTGGGAGGCTTTGCTGGGTGTCCACAGCCTCGGGGCTACCCCAGGCCCTGCCAAGCCTCTGGGGCTTCAGAGCAGCCCCCGAAAGCAGCTGCAGTTAGAGCGCCTCCTGAGTCTCGGGCGTAGGGTCTGCGGAGGGCTGGGCAGGGAGCCTTCCCACCTGTGTTTTTAGTTATTCCAGATCGACACTGCCGGCTGCTTGGAGGTCGTCCAAGAGAGGAAGGCCCTGCCGCCCAGCCTGCCCCGGGCTGGTGCTCAGGACCCATCACTGCATCTGCCACAGGTAACGGGCACTTGGGCTGAGAAGTGAGGATGACTGCTGCCCTCCCCAGCATGGACTGCGCTTCCACGAAGGCTCCATGCCTGCCCCACCCACTCTGCCACACCCCCAGGGAGGCATCTGCACTTCCCACCTGAGGGGACGCAGCCCTGAGAGGCCCCAGGGAAGTCAGGCAGGTGCAGATTGGGGCTGACACTCGGGTGCCCATGTGCCTAGCGTTTCCCCCATAACCCCACTGGGCGGAGGTCATGGACATGGGCACTGTCTGCCATGGGTACCTGGTTCTTGCCTTTCTGCTCCAGGAACTAAATTCACACGAGTTCACCAAGGCCTCACCCCTGAGCCCAGTCACCTGGGGAGGCGAGGACAAAGCACTGTCACTTAGAAAAGCAGAGACAGCACTGGGGTGACTCCTAGTCCTCTGTGCTCCCTGTCCCCTGCCTCTCCCTGCGGACCCCAGCCTGTCCGCAACCTCCCAGAAGAGCTCTTCAGGGCACCCTTGGGAGGAGCTGCGGGGGGGCAGGAGGCCAGGCCTTTGCCCGCTGTGGCCGCGGAGTTCCTGCAGAGGTGTGTGTGAGGCCACACCAGCCCTTGGGGCCTCGTCCCCGCTTCAGGGAGTGGCAGGGGACAGTCGGATGCTAGGAGAGGTGCTCCGAGCCCACAGATGTGCCCGAGCTGCTGACCCCTCTCCTCTCTCCCTTCTCCAGGCCTCCTCCAGTGCCCAGAACACCCCAGGTAACACCCTTGCTGCTCTGCCCTGGGGGAAAGAGGTCTCACCTGGCCCGGGCTCTCACCCACAGCCCCCAAGCAGCACAGCCTGTGGCCCCTGGTGACAGCCCCCATGAGTCCCACCGCAGGGATGAGAGTCCGGCTGGGCCAGCACCCTGCAGCCCTGAGGCTTCCCCCACATGCGGCCCGGAGGCAGGGGTCTTCTTGAGTGAGGGTCCGCGCATGCTCCAAGCCAGCAGCATCAGGCAAAGCCTGGGCTCCCAGCTGGTCTCAGCCACCATTAAATGGGCCGGGCTTCCCAGAGTGCCCAGTGGCCTGGCTTTGGCCAGAGCATTGGGGTCTGGGGTAACTACTGTGACTCGGCAGACCCAGGACATGCCGCTGGACCCCCTCTTGGCTCCAGATCCCAGGCTCCGCACGAGGGTCCTCCTGATGAGGGGATGGCAGCGGGGGCTGTCCCTGGGCCACATGCCTGGGGCTCCTCCTCAGGTGTGGTCTGTCCTCCCCATAGGCCGCCCCTTCCCAAACTTGCTGGTTCAAGAAGCCTCAAACAGCGCCAGCAACAAAGGGAGCCGGAGACGGGTCTCTGGCCGGGCAGAGCGCACCCTGCCCCAGGTGTCCCCACTGGCTCCGACCGGCTCCCGGCCCAAGCGAAAGACTGTGTCAGAGCTACTTCAGGAGAAGCGGCTTCAGGAGGCCCGTGCCAGGGAGGCCGCCCGGGGCCCGGTGTTGCTACCATCCCAGCTGCTGGTCTCCTCGCCTGTGGTCCTCCAGCCCCCTCTACCACACGCCCCGCACTGCCGCCCAGCCCCTGGGCCCGCCATCTCAAATGCACCACTCTCTGGGCCTGGGACCCCAGCAGCAGCCAGGCCGGGCACTTCTGGCTTCCAGCAGGAGGTTGGGACTTCAGCCACGGACAAGAGACTCTCTACCCTGCAAGCCCTACCCCTTGCTCCTGCCTTCACAGGGGCCGAGGGCACAGCCCCTTCCCTGGGCCCCGGCCAGGTCTCTGTGAGCTGCCCCGGGAGCGGTCTCGGACAGTCTCAGGCCCCTGCTGCATCCCGGAAGCAGGGCCTGCCTGAGGCGCCGCCCTTCCTCCCTGCAGCCCCCAGCCCCACCCCACCGCCCATCCAGCCCCTCAGCCTGACGCATGTGGGAGGACCAGGTGTGGTGGCCAGTGTCCCGCTGCCTGTCACCTGGGTGCTCACAGCCCAGGGGCTCCTCCCCGTTCCTGTGCCAGCTGTGGTGGGCCTTCCCAGGCCCGTAGGGACCCCTGGCCCCGCAGGGCTGCTGGCCACTCTGCTGCCTCCCCTGACCGAGGCTCAGGCAGCCCAGGACCCCAGGGCTGTGGCCAGTATGAAGGTGGAACCAGAGCCTTCCTGCAGGACAGACCCACCAGCCCCTCCCATGCAGGCCCCCCCCCAAAGTCCTGCAGAAGTGGGTGGCAGTGTGGCCCTTGTCCCTGGAGAGGCCCAGGTGGCCAGGGAGGTAACTGCACCCATGACATCCACCCAGACTGACCTGCCTGAAGCAGAACCCCCCTGGCCCAGGAGGCTGCCAGACCTTGGTGGTGCCATCCCAGCAAGTGAGCCAGCAGGGACACCAGGGTCCCCCTCGGGGACACAAGAGCCCAGGGGGCCTCTGGGCCTGGAGAGACCACCCCTGCCACAGCCTGGGCCTGAGAAGGGGGCCCTGGACCTGGGCCTGCTGTCGCAGGAGGGAGAGATGGCCACACAGGAGTGGCTGGGGGGTCGGCGGGGGGTGCACGTGCCTCCCCTGGTGAGCAGACTGCCCTACCAGCCCCCAGCCCTGTGCAGCCTGCGGGCACTGGCTGGCCTCCTGCTCCACAAGAAGGCCCTGGAGCACAAGGCTGCCTCCCTGGTGCACCTCCCAGCCGGGGTCAAAATGCAACAACCAACGGGAGTGCTGCAGGCCTCACGGGGGCTGGTGCAGGGGCAGCTCCAGGACAACCCTGCCTACCTCCTGCTGCGGGCACGGTTCCTGGCAGCCTTCACCCTCCCTGCACTTCTGGCCACTCTGGCCCCCCATGGCATCCGTACCACCCTCTCAGCAGCTTCAATGGCGGGCTCCGAGAGTGAGGAGGAAGAGCTGAGTGAGCTGGAACTCGCAGATGGAACCGGGCAGCTGGGTCACAGGGTGGCCACACAGCCTGTTCAGGTGAGGTGGGTGCCCAGCCCCACTTCCCCATGGCCGGCGGCGGGGTGGGTGTCGGTGGAAGTTGTGGGCAGGAGGGCTGGCTGCTCGGTGTCAGGAGGAGGAAGCTGGCTCCTGCCTGCCCGGTTGCGTGTAGATTCTGCAGAAGTTGCTGCCCTTTGGGGCGGTGTGGAGAAGAGGAGAGGGGCCTTGTTCTCCTGCAGATGCTGACCCGGCCCTCCGGGGCAGGCCCCAGGCACAGCAGAGGGTGGCGGCTGTGTTCGTCCTGCATTTCCAGGGTCCCCGAGGTCCCTCTTGCTGTCACCTCTCTGAGTATACTTGGGAAGAGTTTTCCAAGTTCTGTAGGCAAAACCACATTCGGAACCCTGGAGGAGAAGCCAGGAGGAGACGTGGCCGGAGTGGCTTCCTCCCTTGCTGCCAGGGTGTCCACTTGCAGCCGCCAGGGGCTGGCATCCCTAAGAAACCGCCAGAAGCAGGCAGCCTCCGCTGGAGCTGTGGGCCTGCCGTGGGGAGGGTGGCAGGGGCTGTCCGTGTCTTCCCATGGTTGTGCCTCGAGAGTTCCTGGGCTGAAGTGAGGGAGAAAGCACTGCCTGGGAGCGGGCTGAGGACCCTGGCCGGCCAGGGGAAGAGGCTCCCGTGCCCCAGCCATGTGTGACGGCCAGCCTGTAGGGGAGTAGAAGGCTGGCCACAGGGATGGCTTAGACGAGGTTGGAGCCCCCGAGGGAGGGCGAGCACCATGGGAAGCAAGTCACACGTGGCCCACGCTGAGGGGGCCCCATCCCAAGTGGGACACTTGCCCACAGGGAGTGCCCTCACTCCCTGCCCCTTCCCCGCCCATCATGGCTTGGAGGGGTCACTCAGTCCCACTGCCTGGATTTTGTTTCAGGGAGCCCCAGACTCTGGTGAATGCTCTGCCTCCCCCTGCCAGGGTGCTTCTGATGACCTTGATGTTGACAACCTTGATGTGCTGAGAACCCGGCATGCCAGGCACACCCGGAAGCGGAGGTGGCTGGTGTGAGCAGCAGGTGAGCCCAAGTGGCGGGGAGAGAGTGGCGTCCGAGCTGGGGGACGCCAGCTTCCCTCTGCTCTTCGCTTTGGCGCCGACAGCAGGTGTGTTAGGTTAGGTGGTGGGGCCTTGAGGGCAGGTCCAGAGTCATGGGGGCCATCTGGGGGGAGAAGCATTGAAGCTGCCCGTGCCTCAGGCCTTGGCACCACTGCCCCGTGACCACAGGGCTCATTCCCTGCCCTTGCTGGGGTCCCGGCTCCTCCCTGGCCGCTGTACTCCAGTGGCGCGTGTTCCCGTGCATCCCTCGGTCTTCCCACCGTGACCAGCCACTGCACCGGGCTGGCTTTCCACTGCTAGGGCCCCGGTTCCGACGGCAGGGGCCCTGGGCCTTGGCACATGTGGATCGGATTCACCAAGCAGACCGGGAGTGGCTGGTGCCAGGGTGGCCTTGGTTCCTATCTCTCTGTCCCAGCACTGCTTGGGGTCTGGCTGGGCTCAGGGGCACCCTACCACCCGGGTGTTCTTGTGTTCCAGGGTAGACACTCCCCAGAAACCAGTGACCCTGCTGGTGAGAGGCAGCCACAGGCCAGGGAGCTGCTGGCCGCTGACCAACCAAGTCTGCGAGGAACAGGGGAGCCCTGCAAACTGAATGTGTGGCTGGTCCCCAAGTGCACGTCTCAGCCCCCGGAGGAATAAAGTTCTGTTTCTAACCGTAGAGCCGGACACCAGCTGCTGTGGTTTGTTGTCCCAAGACGCTGTGTACAGGGAGCCTCTGCCTGGCCAGGCTCAGGCCGCTGCCCGGTGGCCCAGCCACTCTAGTGCAGGCAGTCTGGGGACAGCAGGGTGTTGGGGCTCAGCGCTGTGGTCCTCGAGCCTCCTGTACCCTGGCTGCCCTCCTGGCAGAGACGCAGGCTTTCGCCCATTTCTTGGAAAGCATCTGTGGCTCTGTCCTTTAGGCTGAGCCAGCGCCCACCCCAGACGGCCGCCAGCCTTGCGCCGCCCCGGCTGAGCGGGGGGTTCCCTGGAGCAGGTGACCTGGCTACCCAGCCACGGCACCCCCCACCCGCCTTCACTGTTCCTTTTGCATGGGCCTTTCGTGGCACAAGACCAGGCCTCATCTTCCCTGACTGTCCCCTGGCAGCCTCTCCTTCGTCTCCGTGCCAGCGTCCTCAGGCCCTTGGTGCTCCTGTGGGCTTCACTCCTTCACTGGAACCACTGTGGGGACTCAGCTCTGGGCACCCGGCCAGCCTGGCTCCCGAACATGTGTTCCTGGGCCTGGTTCTCTAGTAGCTGGTGCCTCGTCTCCTGGGGTCCCCTCTGGCCTGTGGGTGATTTAGAGGTATATTTCATTTCCAAATATGGATTTTCCATATACCTGTTACTGATTTTTAGCTTCTGACATGGTTAGAGAACATGACACATGTATTCATTCCTAAAGACACACACCACCAGGGAGACACAGGTCCTCATTCTACAAGCTGGGGAAACACTGGCTCATGAGGGCCTGGCACCAGCTCGCACCCACTCTCAAGTAGGGCCCAGGACGGCGCCTCTGCCCTCACTCATGCTGCTGGTCAGGGGCATGGCAGGGGCACAGCCCCCTGGAATGTGGCTTTCCCAAGAGCCCACGAGGACCCTAACTGTCCGCCCCGAGAGCCCGGGAGGACCCTAACTGTCCACCCCGAGAGCCCACGAGGACCCTAAGTGTCCACCCCGAGGGCCACGAGAACCCTAACTGTCCACCCCGAGAGCCCACGAGGACCCTAAGTGTCCACCCCGAGAGCCCACGAGGACCCTAACTGTCCACCCCGAGGGCCCACGAGGACCCTAAGTGTCCACCCCGAGGGCCCACGACCCTAACTGTCCACCCCGAGGGCCCACGAGGACCCTAACTGTCCTCCCCGAGGGCCCACGAGGACCCTAAGTGTCCGCCCCGAGGGCCCACGAGGACCCTAAGTGTCCGCCCCGAGGGCCCACGAGGACCCTAAGTGTCCGCCCCGAGGGCCCACGAGGACCCTAAGTGTCCGCCCCGAGGGCCCACGAGGACCCTAAGTGTCCGCCCCGAGGGCCCACGAGGACCCTAAGTGTCCGCCCCGAGGGCCCACGAGGACCCTAACTGTCCGCCCCGAGGGCCCACGAGGACCCTAACTGTCCGCCCCGAGAGCCCGGGAGGACCCTAACTGTCCGCCCCGAGGGCCCACGAGGACCCTAACTGTCCGCCCCGAGAGCCCGGGAGGACCCTAACTGTCCGCCCCGAGAGCCCACGAGGACCCTAACTGTCCACTCCTCAGTGCATGGTGTCAGGTGCTGTCCCTGCAGAGGCCCGAGGGCTGGAGGCTGGGAGGGGTAGGTGAGCACCGCACCAGCTTCCTGCCCTTCCGGCCTGGTGGCCCCTTCTGAAAGCTGCTGGGTGGCAACTCGGTTCAACCAGGTTTACCGGGTGAGCTAGGGCCTGGGGGTTCCCAAGCCTCCAGGGATAAAGCTCTGGCAGCCCACATGCTGAAGCGCAGGGTTCAGGGCAGACTACTGCCTGCTGCTGTGGATGGGTGCGGGGCTGTGCCCTGCCATCATTGGCCCTTCTGAAGCTGGTTTGGGGGACCCTGGGAGTGGCCTTAGTCCCCACGTGCATCCTGGTGAAGACCAGGGATGATTCATCATGAGCATAAATAACAAGGTCCAGCGACACTTCTGGAAGGGACGTCTCTCCCGTGGGCAGCTGGGTGGTGGCTGGTGCTGTGGCCCCAGGCAGGCTGCAGTGGCCGCCTGGGGGCCATGAGGTGGGCTGCAGCCCTTTTGTGACCAAGGTGTGTTCTGGTCATGCTGTGTGCTCCCCTGCATGTGCCCTGAGGGCCTTGCCATACCAGCTGGCCCAGCCCTGTCCCGCTGTCCTGAGATGCTGGCAAGGGTGAGTGTTCGCACAGAGCATGCCCCACTGAGAAGCCTCCAGAAGTCTGTGACCAGGGCAAAGCAGCTGGGTGTGGGCTGACCTCGTCGGGGCCCCCTGGGGGCCTCTGCTCCCTCTTCTACTTGCCAGGCGCCAGGGTTAGGCCTCTAAGGTAGCCCCAGGACCCCTGGCCACCAGACAGGCTGGGAGTGCAGGGAACAGCCTCCTTGGAGGGCAGAGGACTTCCACTTCCCTCAGCCCCACCTCTTGGGGCCTCCTAGGCTGGGCGAATCAGAAGGCAGGCCGCCAGGGACTGTCCCTCTGTGGGAGGACTGAGGGACTGTGGAGTTAACCAGAACCCATCAGGAAGTGCACAGGCGTCCCAGCGTGCTCCTCTTCCCTGCAGTCACGGGGAGCATCTCCCAGAGGCTCCGCAGCCCAGGCTCCTGGTTCGTCTGCAGTCAGGTGGGTCCTGGACCCTTAGGTGGGTAGGTCTGGTGCTTTTCTGAAAGGTGGCCAGGAAGGTTGGTGTCAGTCTCGTTCAGGATCCTGGCACTGATGCCCCAAAGCAGCCTGAGGCCTCCCACAGGGAGCCGGGCAGCCTCCGCGTGCGGCCCCATCTGTTTCACGGCCACTGGGCATGGACGTGTTCATTTCAGTGGCGTTACCAGCCGAGGCAGCTGGGACTCTGGATTCAGGCTGGGGAGGCAAGCAAGGGGCCCAGTGTTCCCAGGACTGTCCGCCGTGTGGGTGGTGCTTCTATTCAGTCCCTTGTCTGTGAAAACTGGCCTGAATGGGACGGCAAAGCACAGCAGGAAGCTGAGAAAATCCTCAAAAGACCACGCCTGGGGCAACTTGTCTCCAGGAGAGGTGACCCAGCTCCTTTGGGCTGGAAACCAGCTTTCCCAGCGAGGCTGGAGGCTGTCTGAGGAGCAGGGTCTTGCGTGGGAGGCAGGACCGTGTGGGCGCTCCCTGCCTTGGCCCAGTCACAGTCCTGGAGGGAGTGGCTTTCAGCGGCGGAGGCTTCCACCATGCTGGCAGAAAGGGACAGCAGGGGCTGGTCCCAACATGGGTAGTTCTTTTGTTGCAGCCAGCAAGATGGTCCTGGAGGGGGTGGCCGGGGGCCGGACCTCACTAGGGGCAGGAGAAGAGTCCAGGGATTCACTGGTGCCCAGCAGCATGGAGAAAATGCCAGCAGCATTCCTGGCTGGCCGGGTCAACAGTGACAGCCCCTCCCAGCGTTGTGGGGACAGTGGGTGGGGGCTGACAGAGACACTCCTGTGGGCAGCTCTTCCCGGCTGGTACAGTAACTCCGGCAGCTGTGGCAGGGCTGGGCAGCCACTCTTGCATCATCAGCAGCCGGCCATGGAGGAGGGAGGGCACAGGCCGGGATGTGAGCGGGTGTCGATCAGGGGAATGAGGAAGTCCCAAAGGGACTGGCTCCCCCAGCTGCTGCACTGGTGGGAGGGTCACAGGCAAACCTACTCTCACCCAGCTTGGCCTGGCCATAGCGCCAGGCAGATGCTCACACCTCCACCCACTCCACCCATGGAGGTGGCTGTCCTTGCAGGCTCCAGGGCGAACTGGGAGTGTCCAGGATGCAGAGGCCAGAGAGGGGTCATGCTGAAGGGGGAGTTCCTCTCTCGGACCCATCTGTGCCTCCCTGGCTGCATATCTGGGTGATCGGGTGGCCAAGGGGCAGCAGCAGGGGTTGGAAAGGCTGTGGAGGGGCCTGAAGATGAGGGGGTCACTGTGTCCCTGCTGCCTCCCTGGGGGATCCAGCTGTGGCGATGGGCATCTCTCCCGGAAGCCCCTGGGCTGATCCCCTTGACAGCCCTGACAAGAGCCCTGGCCCAGCATCTGAGAAGGGAGTGGGCGCGGGACCTGGGTGGGGGCAGGAGCTGGCGTCACGCTCAGTGGCTGCCCCAACTCTCCCCAGCCTGCCTGCTGGGGCCATGTCGGACTACGAGAACGATGATGAGTGCTGGAGCGCTCTGGAGGGCTTCCGGGTGACGCTCACCTCGGTCATCGACCCCTCACGCATCACGCCCTACCTGAGGCAGTGCAAGGTCCTGAACCCCGATGATGAGGAGCAGGTGCTCAGTGACCCCAACCTGGTCATCCGCAAACGGAAAGTGGGTCAGTGCTGTCCCACAGGCTCCCGGCCCCAAACCCAACCGAGGAGCCTGCTCAGAGGTGGCTGCAGGCTCTGCGACCCTGACCCTCGACCCCAGAGGAGCCCTGCCCAGCTTTGTCCCGGCCACCCAGTGAGGCGCAAACTCAACCCTGACATGTGGCTGCCCCCGCCCCCCAGCCCTCTTTTGCTGGCTCGGTGCTGCCAAGAGGGGCCGTGGGGCTCCCACCACAGCAGGGACTCCTGACACAGCCAAGGGGCGGGTGGGCAGCACTTGCCCCCAGCCTAGTACCTAGACCCTCAGGGTGCGTCATCCACGACCCAGACCACAGCGCACCTCCTCTGCGTCCCAGCCTCCACCTCTCCCCGCCCCCGGGCCCACCCACCCCAGCGCTCTGCCCCGCTAGCGCCCCGCCCCTAGTTCAGCCTCTCTGGCCCGCAGGTGTTCTCCTGGACATCCTGCAGCGGACAGGCCACAAGGGCTACGTGGCCTTCCTCGAGAGCCTAGAGCTCTACTACCCGCAACTGTACAAGAAGGTCACGGGCAAGGAGCCAGCCCGCGTCTTCTCCATGATCATCGGTGAGTGACGGGGAAGGCGGGGCCGGGCAGTGGTGCTGGGTCGTCTGCCAGGCCCACATGCCTAGCAGCCCTGAGCTCCTGCCACAGCGCGAGGCGTGACGGAGCCAGACCGCCGGGGAAAGCGGGCCCTGTCTGACATCGGCCCGGCCCACAGATGCGTCCGGGGAGTCAGGCCTGACGCAGCTGCTGATGACCGAGGTCATGAAGCTGCAGAAGAAGGTGCAGGACCTGACCGCGCTGCTGAGCTCCAAGGATGACTTCATCAAGGAGCTGAGGGTGAAGGACAGTCTGCTACGCAAGCAGCAGGAGCGCGTGCAGAGGCTCAAGGAGGAGTGCGAGGCCGGCAGCCGGGAGCTCAAGCGCTGCAAGGAGGAGAACTACGACCTGGCCATGCGCCTGGCGCGCCAGAGCGAGGAGAAGGGCGCCGCGCTCATGCGCAACCGCGACCTGCAGCTGGAGGTGCGCCGGCTGCCCCAGGGAACCAGGGCGGCCCCCCTCGCCTGGCCCGGCGGGGCCCGCGGGTCGGCTGTCGGCGCCCGGAGCTCACGGCTGGGCTCACCAGGCCTTCCGCAGGTCGACCGGCTCAAGCACAGCCTCATGAAGGCCGAGGACGACTGCAAGGTGGAGCGGAAACACACGCTTAAGCTCAGGCACGCCATGGAACAGCGGCCCAGCCAGGAGCTGCTATGGGAGCTGCAGCAGGAGAAGGCCCTGCTGCAAGGCCCGGGTGCAGGAGCTGGAGGCATCGGTTCAGGTGGGGCCGCGGGCGGGGCGGGCGCAGGTGGGGCGGGTGCAGCCCTGCCGGGCGGCGTGGACCTTCCCAGCTGGGCCATTGCTTTTTGCCCCCTTCAGGAGGGGAAACTGGACAGGAGCAGCCCCTATATCCAGGTGCTGGAAGAGGACTGGAGGCAGGCGCTGCGGGGCCACCAGGAGCAGGCCAGCACCATCTTCTCCCTGCGCAAGGACCTCCGCCAGGGCGAGGCCCGTCACGCCCGGGTATGAGTGCCGGCGGGGACACGTGGTCCTGGGGGCCACGCCAGGCTGGGTGGGCTGAGCTCCACCCACTCTGGAAGGTGGGGTGTGGGGACCCCAGGGCAGCGTCTCCACTCACCCACTCCTGGAGGCACAGTGGATGGTGCCCACTGCTGGCTCACCTGCTCCCCGTGGCAAAGGCCATGGGCTCATTGTAGCTGGGCACAGCAGTGCCTGAGGCCTGCGGCAGAGCCCTTCGAGGCTGCGGTCTGGAAGGGCGGGGCGGTAGGGGCCTGGGGACTCCTATGGCCTTCCCCAACATCCCAACTGACCTGACCCACTTTCCTGAGCTCCTAGCTGGAGCACCCGCCACGGGTCAGAATGGGGAGCCTCAGGCCTTGGGGGCTGAGCTGCTACCCCCTGCAGTGCATGGAGGAGAAGGAGATGTTGGAGCTGCAGTGCCGGGCCCTGCGCAAGGACTCCAAGGTGTACAAGGACCGCATCGAGGCCATCCTGCTGCAGATGGAGGAGGTTGCCGTCGAGCGGGACCAGGTGGGCGCTCACGGGGGCGGGACGGAGTGCCCCATTCGAGGTGGGTGCACCAGGGCCACAGCCCTTGAGGGCAGTTGTCAGCGGGTTTTTCATCTTTATTTTGTTATTTTTGAGCTGGGGTCTCGCTATGTCACCCAGGCTGGCCTCAAACTACTGGCCTCAAGCAATCCTCTGGCCTCAGTCTCCCAAAGCCCTGGGATTGCAGGTTAAGCCAACACACTGGCCTGTTTTTTAAGTGACAGAAGGAATATCTAACACTAAAAAAAAAAAGTAAACTGATGAAGTCAATACTCCCCCACCCCAGCCTGCTGTCAGGGGAAACTTCTACCATCCGGCTCCACCTTAACAGATATCTCCCTTCCCTCCCCTTCCCTCCCCGTCCCTCCCCTCCCCCTCCCTTCTCCCCTCCCCTCTCTTCCCTTCCTCCCTCCCTCCCTTCCCCCTCTCTTCTCCCCTCCCCTCCCCTCCCTCCCCTCCCCTCCCTCCCCTCCCCTCCCTCCCCTTCTCCCTGCCCTCCCCTCTCCTCCCTTCCTCCCTCCCTCCCCTCCCTCCCTCCCCTCCTCCCTCCCTTCCCCTGACCCTTCCCTCTTTCTCGTCTTCTTCCTTCCTTTCTCTATTTTTTCTCTTTCCTTTTCTTCCTTCCTTTTGCTTTCTTTGCTTTCTTCCCTTCCTCCCTTCTTTCCTCCCTCTTTTTTTTCTTTTTTTCCCTCTAACATGGATCATAAGAATCTTTTTTTCTTTCTTTCTCTTTCTTTTTGCTTTTGTTTTATGAAAATGGAAGCCTTCTGTCTTGTTTTACCAGCTTTTTTTTCTTTTCTTTTTTTTACTTTTAATTTATCTTACCAGTAGCTTTTTTTAATCTTGAAAAACAGTCTTGGCTGGATGCGGTGGCTCAACCCTCTAATCCCAACACTCTGGAAGGGCGAGGTGGGTGGATCACTTGAGGTCAGGAGTTCAAGACCAGCCTGGCCAGCATGGTGAAACCCTGTCCCTACTAAAAATACAAAAATAGCCAGGCGTATTAGCGGGCACCTGTAATTCCAGCTACTCAGGAGACTGAGGCAGGAGAATCACTTGAATCCAGGAGGCAGTGGTTGCAGTGAACTGAGATCACGCCACTGCACTCCAGCCTGGGTAACAGAGTGAGACTCCGTCTAAAAAAAAAAAAAATTGGCATGGTGGCCCACACCTGTGGCCACAGCCATTTGAGAGGCTGAGGCGGCAGCAAGGACAGGGCTGTGTCTGCTTCCCAGGTCCCATCCCAAGTCCCATTCTGGGGTTGTTTCTGATGGACCCCATTGCTGCTTCAGCGAATGCTGGACGGCAGTTTGCCCAAATCAGGAGCCTTAAAACGAGACCCCTGGGGCCATAAAGGAAGCCCCGCCCCCGAGACGGCAGCTCAGGCTCGGAGCTCCTGTAGGGGCCCCACCAGGGCCTCACTTGCACCTGGCCCACCCCAAGGCAGGGAAGAAAGGGCAGGTTCAGCTGTGCCCCCATGGGGGTTGGGGCAGCTCCCAGGGCAGGGCCTCCCTCGGGGCTGTGTGGGAGAGGTGGGTGGGCAGGGATTAGGGAAGCTGCCAGTCTTTGCTGGAGTCTGGGCGGCAGGCGTTAGGTGAGGCCCTCCCAGCCTCTGCTGCGTGGATGGTCAGGCCGTCGTCCGTCTGCACGTTTGCTCCTGCACCTCAGCGTCCGCGGTGGGGACAGGGATGGTAAAGTGTACCGTGTTCATGAAGGAGTCTTAGCTATGGACGGTCTGGTTCTCCATATCAAGCCGCATCCAAAATTCATCCTGTGTGCACGTGTAGGGGTGCATAGCACAGGCTGTGTCCACCGGGGGTGCAGTCGTGGGAGGAGGCAGAGGAGGGCTGCAGGGACTATTCCGAGGGTGAGCCTTCCTTATATTGTCTTAACTGTCACCTTTACAATCCCTCAAATGCTGGCTTCATGTCCTCGGAGCACAGAAAGGGAGGGACTGGGATTGGCCTCTGCAGCCAGCGGCTTGATGTCCTCGGGGCCTCTGCTGGGAGTTGGGTGGTCAGGCTAAGGACCCAGGGTGAGCTTGGGCGCCTCACTGAGGGTTGGCCTTGTGCTGTCCCGTCAGGCCATCGCCACACGGGAGGAGCTGCACACCCTGCACGCCCGCGGCCTGCAGGAGAAGGACGCGCTTCGAAAGCACATGCGGGAGCTGGGCGAGAAGGCTGACGAGCTGCAGCTGCAGCTGTTCCAGCGTGAGGCGCAGCTCCTGGCCGTGGAGGGCAGGCTCAGGCGGCAGCAGCTGGAGATGCTCGTCCTGGTGGGCCTGGTGCACGGGGCGGGGAGAGGAGCTGGGGGGACGCAGGACTCGGGAAGCATGGAGCCTCTGGACGCCCTGGCCTTGGCCTTCCCGACCTAACCTTCCTCTGTGATGGGCCCCAACCTAACAGAGCCCCTCCTCGCAGTGGGGTGAGGGCACGGGGGCAGATTGGGGCCCCAACAGGAAGTGGGGCTGGAGGGCCGGGGTGTGGCCTGGGCCTGGCCATCAGGCAGCCTCGCAGGTGGTTCTGGTCATGGAGGGGGCTGTGGTGGCTGAGGGAATGCCCAGGGTCCCTGGAAGAACCCACTCTGCCCTGTCCGCCCTGTGCCTGGGGAGCCCTAGGCCCCCACAGCCCACTGACCCCATTTTCTATGACCACAGAGCTCCGACCTGGATGATGGCTCACCCAGGAGCTCCCAGGAGGTGAGTGAGACCCCAGCCGGCACAGGGCTGCCCCTCCTTCACCCAGGCTGCCACCAGGTACAGCCCCACACTCCCTGTCACGTGGTCCTGCTTGGTGGCTGGGCTGGGTGGAGGATGAGCAGGCAGCCGCACACTACGGCCTCCGACAGCTCGAAGGGTAAGGACAGTGCCCACCTCCTGGCACCCTCATGGCAGGACCTTCCTCGCTGGGCTCCTGAATTGCTGAGAAGCTCTGTGCAGGGGGTGATGGTGATGGCCAAGAGCTGAGGTGGGCAGTGTGGCCAGGTCCAGTCCCTGGCAGAGGGGCCTAACAGGACATCTTGCCTTTCTTCTGAAGCTCTCGCTCCCTCAGGAACTGGAGGAGGACACCCAACTCTCAGACAAAGGTGAGGAGGTGATAGCTGTGCACCCAGAGGCCTCCCGGCTGCCCAAGCGAGGCCCATCTTCAGTGCAGGCAGCCCATGACACGTGCCTGTCTCTGCTTGTACCCTCCGCACTCCACAGACGGGGAAGCTGGGGCTGGGGGATAAGTAAAATGGCCATGGCACCCAGAGAACAGACCACAGAGCCCAGTTGGAACCTGGGGCCCCAGTTGGCAGGACGAGTGTCCCCTGGGGTGGGGAGGGAGAGGCAGTCACTGGCAGGAGTGCTGGGCCTGGGTTGCTGTCCATTGCCCCTCCTGGGGCAATAAACAGGGAAGCAAGGCCCCAGGCCCCAGTGTCACCTACAGAATGTAGTGTACACTGGACCCACGTGGGGTCTCACCAGGCCTTGGAAGACAGCCCCACAGGGTGTCAGCAGTGCCGAGGAGGGGTGTGGCAGCCCGGCTGTGCGTGGCCCTGCAGGTGGGGTGGGCAGAGCTGGCAGGAATGACTCTCCATTCCAGGTGGCCTGGCTGTCGGTGGGAGCCAGGAGCGGCCCTTTGCAGCTGTGCACCAGGAGCAGCTTTCACTGACCCCCCATGTAAGGCTGTCCCAGGATGGGCTCCCCCAGCTGTGGGCCTCAGGGTGACTGATCACAGGGAGGGTGGCTCCTCACCCTGGGAACCCCCTGCAGTGGTCCCGAAGGCTAAGGGGTGACCACGAGTTCTCTGTCCTCAGTGCTTGGGGTGCAGTGTCTGGGATGTGAAGGGGAACACCCTCCTTTCTCGGGCACTGCAGCAGCTTGTGGGAGCTTGGAGGTGGATGTGCCAGGTCCTGGTTTCTTGGGGGCCTTTACAGCAGATGCAGCATCAACCCTGAGTAGGTTGGCACAGGAGCCCTGACAGCAAAGGCTGCCTCGGGCTTTGTTGTAGAGACGAAGGCCTGGAGCCCAGGCTGGAGCCGTGGCTTGGCCTCCTGGGTGTGTCCTGGCATCTGAAATGCAGGATGCCCACACCAGCTCCCCTCCCAGGGTATAGGCAGGCCCCCCCAGGGTGAGCTTGGCCCTGAGCTGGGCTGAGGCTGTCTGGGCTCCCTGCCTCCCCACCAGTCTTCAGTTGCAGGGACCAGTGGGGGGTGCATGAGAAGGGCTGGGGTCCCTCGGGGTGCCGGCCAGAGCCTGAGCCTTCCCCCTTCTCCAGAACGCAGGCCTGAGCAGTGGGGAGCCCCCAGAGAAGGAGCGGCGCCGCCTCAAGGAGAGTTTTGAGAACTACCGCAGGTAGGCAGGTGGCTCCCAGCCTCCTCCAAAGCGGACTGGGGAGGGGCAGCCGGGTCTGCGCCTGAGACCCCTGTGTCTTCGCAGGAAGCGTGCCCTCAGGAAGATGCAGAACGGCTGGCGGCAGGGGGAGGCGGACAGGGAGAACACCACGGGCAGCGACAACACCGACACCGAGGGCTCCTAGCCGCAGCAGCGCGGGCCTGGCCCAGAGCACGCCCACCGGCCCCGCCACCCAGGGGTGCTAACGCCCTGGGCTTGGAACCAGGAGTCTGGTGCCCTGAAAGCCCCAGCCGGGCCGCCGAGCGTTGGGGTGTTCTGTTAAGCAGCCTTCAGCTTGCGGAGCCCACGCAGGTGCTCGCCACCCCGTGCACACGCATTTGTGTAACTTGAGGGTCTGCTGTATTTCACCACGTAACGCACGATACATGCATGCATTGTATAAGTGTTAGAAAACCCGGCTACGTAAATAAATAACTCGGGTGACCCGAATTCCCGCTCCCACACTCGCGAGCAGCCCTGCGACGGTCCCTCCTCGCTGCGGACCCGCGATGTCCTCGCGGCGCGGGCAGCACGTGGGCGCAGGGCCCCCACCAAGCTGCCAGGGGGCGGCAGAGCGCAGCGCGCCCCAGTCCGGAGGCCCGGATAGGCTGCTTCCGCCCGGTGCCCGCTTCCAAGATGGCGGGGGGGCGGGGTCAGAGCTGGGCGGACCGAGTTGGCGGGCGGGATGCTGCGGGCGGCGCTGGGCAGCGTGCCGAGGCTGCTGTGCCGCGTGCAGCCCCGGGGGTCCTGCCTGAGGCGTCTGTGGGGCTGCGGAGCCCGCACGGAGGTCGCAAGCAGGCGGCGGGTCTTGGCCTGGGGATGGCGGCGCTCAAGCTCCGAGCCGGGGCCGGGGCCCGAGGTGGCGCTGGGACGCGTGGAGGCGGCGCACTACCAGCTCGTCTACACCTGCAAGGTGGGCGCGCGGCGGGACGGAGCCGGGGCCGGACCCACAGCTGGCCCGAGACGGCCTGCAGGGAGAGGCAGCCCAGGGGAGGGGGGGGGGTCTTCCGGGAGGGGCGGGGTCAAGTCACAGGAAGGGGTGGAGCTATCCCTTGGGGCGAGGTGACTGTGAGGCCTTCTGGGAGGGAGCGGGGTTGGACCATGAGAAGGCGTAAATCTGTCCCTGGGGCGGGGCCTTCCCAGGAGGTGGTTAGGCTGGGGTGGGTGGAGCTATAACTAGGGGGCGGGGCCTTCCCTGGAGAGCGTGGGGTAGGTGGAGCTATCCCTCAAGGGGCAGGTCTTCCGGAGAGAGGGTGTGGGATGGGTGGAGCTATCTCTCAGGGGCGGGGCCTTCCGCAGAGTGGGTGAGGTGGGTGGAGCTACCCCTCGAGGGGAAGGCCTTCGCTAGAGAGCGCGTGGGGTGGGTGGAGCTATCCCTCAGAGGCGGGGCCTTCTTCAGAGAGGGCGAGGTGGGTGGAGCTACCCCTCGAGGGGAAGGCCTTCCCTAGAGAGCGCGTGGGGTGGGTGGAGCTATCCCTCGGAGGCGGGGCCTTCCGAGGAGTGGGTGAGGTGGGTGGAGCTACCCCTCGAGGGGAAGGCCTTCCCTAGAGAGCGCGTGGGGTGGGTGGAGCTATCCCTCGGAGGCGGGGCCTTCCTCAGAGAGGGCGAGGTGCGTGGAGCTACCCTGCGATGGGCGGGCCTTCCCAAGAGAGAGTGTGGGGTGGGTGGAGCTATTTCAGGGGAGGGGCCTCCCCCGGAGAGGGTGAGGTGGGTGGAGCTACCCCTCGAGGGGTGGGTCTTCCCGGGAGGGGCGTGGCGGCGCTCACAGCCTCACCAGCTGTTCTGTCAGCCAGGTCTGTGGGACTAGGTCCTCCAAGCGCATCTCCAAGCTGGCTTATCACCAAGGCGTGGTCATTGTGACCTGTCCGGGCTGCCAGAACCACCACATAATCGCAGACAACCTGGGCTGGTTCTCGGACCTGAATGGAAAGAGGTGAGGCCCGTACCCCAGGGCTGGGCCTGGAGCCCACCCAGAAGGACCCTGGCCTCCCTCGGGGAACGTTCCCCTAGTGTGGTTTATAGCTCCCACCTTGGCAATCCAGCCACCTTGTCAATACAAGACACACAGTTAAATGAGAATTTCCTATAAACCCCAGGCAGCATTTTAGTGTAAGTTTGCCCCACGTAGGGGGTACATTTTAGATGCTAAATCTTGCCCCGTGGCCCTGCCTCTTTGCCTGCCCTCTGCCCTCACTGCCAGCCTTGTCCCTCCCTGGTGCGGTACTTTCTTGCCCTCTGCCACCTCGGGGTGGCTGGCCCATAATAGCAAGGCTTGGGGCGTGGGCCCTGGCTGCTGGGAGAGCAGTGGAGGTGGTGTGGGGAGCCTGGTCCCCACCTTGCTTGGCCGCCACCTGGCTGGGGGGTCCTGGGCAGTGCCCTTTGCCCTCTGAGCTCCGCGTTCTCATCTGAGGACAGGACAGTAACAGTGGCAGCAGGTCTGAGACCAGCGTGCCAGGTGCTTGGTGGTGCCTGGCCCTTGGGGCTGGGGCTGTCCTCCCATCAGACCCAAGGCTGTGTAGACTTCCCTCTGGTGCATAGAGGGTGGGACTGGTTTCCTGAGGTGGCGCTTACCGGCTGAGACGCAGGGCTGGTGGGGGTGCACGGGCCAGTGTCTCAGGTGCCTCTGTGGCCTGATGCCACAGGAGTGCTGAGCATGGCGCTCACAGCTCCGGCCTAGCCATGGGGTGCCCTGAGGGGACTGAAGTGCAGGGCGGGGGCAGGGGACCTGAAGAGCCACGTTGCCTCCCTGCCTCTCAGAAATATTGAAGAGATCCTGGCAGCCAGAGGCGAGCAGGTGCGCCGTGTGGCTGGCGAGGGGGCCCTGGAACTGGTTCTGGAGGCTGCCGGGGCCCCCACATCCACTGGTGCTCCGGAAGTGGGTGAGGACAAGGATCCCACTCGCCCTGGCAAGACGGAGTTGAGCTGACCCCTGCGCTTCCCGGCTCTGCGGGACTTCAGCCTTCCAGAAGGATATTTTGGTCCTGGGCTTCTCCGGACTTGGCCTGTTTTCTATCAATAAACAAACATCCCTTCCGGGTGCCGGGGCCTGCGGCCCTGGTGGCGTTTCTTTTTCTGGAGTTAGAGGGACTGCTCTGAATCCCTGGTGCTGCTGGGTGGGACATTGGAGCCGCAGGACCCTGGGCCTCACCATGGTTCCTCCTATGTGGAGTCACCTTGCATAGGCCCACAAGGGCCACGGGTGCGTGGAGAGGGGGCTGGATGTGCAGTCGGACCCCCTCCCGGCTGTCGGTGCATGGCTTTGGTCAGGTTACCACCCCTGTGAGCCTCAGCCTTCCCCTGCAAGCTCCTTGCCGTCCCCCTGGACAGCTCTGCTGATCCACACTTCCGTGAGCCAGTGCAGACCCGAGCCCTGGCCCACGAAGGACCAGCAGCTCTGATGGACTGAGGGTCAGGAGCTCCAGATCCCTCTGAGGAGCCAGCTGGGCCTCCCTCCCTTGGTGGGCAGTGCGTGCCCCCGGGGCCTCTGAGGCGTGTGGGGTTTGTCTCCAGCCTCGTTTGACTGCCCGCAGATGTCCCTGTGTTTATGAAAGTGAGCAAATGAAGGGGCCTGTTTATTTGCAGAAATGTTCTGTGCTTTGTGAGCTTCAGCATTAATCACCCGCCATACTCTGGCAGGGAAGAGACAGGATGGGGCGCGGTGGGAGGTGGAGGAGGACAGCGCGACAGGGACCCAGTGCGGCCCCTCCCAGCGGGACCTAGCCCGTGGGAAGCCAGGGCGCAGCGGCATCGTTCCCAGTGCGCTCGTGGCATGGGCTTTGCCTCCATTACCCCGTCCCCTCTCAGCCAACAACCCCCTATTACTCCCACCTGGAGCCTCTGAGCCACGTGTGGAAACTGCCCTCCTCCGGACTGAGCCCCGCTCCCCAGCCTGCTCTCCATAGAGGCACTGGCTAGGGGTCTCCTGGGGGCCTGAAGTGCAGGGGCCGTGGGGCTGGGCTTGGCCTGGCTGCCTCACTGCCTCCAGGGGGCCTGGACCAGTGTGTTGGGAGGTCCAGGGAGCTGTTCAGACCTGGAAGTGCAGAACTGGACAGGGGACAGCTGCTCAGGCCAACCTTCCTCTTACAGAGGGGAGATGGAGACCGGGAGGTGGGAGGTAGATCACCAGGTCTTTCTGTGTCTGCTGCCAGCACCTCTGGGTCCAGGCTGGCCCTGGAAGGACACCCCTCCCAAGGCTGGCACGTTACTAGGGAGTAAAGTTCTGTTCCACCCCCGAGCCAGATGCATCCCACCAGCTCCTGCCTGAGGTACCCTGGAGCCCGTCTCTTGCCCTTCCCTCCCCCCAGCCCCACTCCCACAGCCAGGTTTCTGCCAGGGGCTTTGTCATCCTCATCGCCCCTACTCTGCACCCACCACCCCTCTGGGACATCCCTGCCTCCCGGGGATGGCTGCTGGCCTGGGCATCTGTGTAGCATGCCTCTCCAAGAAGGCTCCCAGCCGCACCTTCAGAGGCTGTCCCAGGTGCCAGCCAGCCAGCAGCATGGGGGCATGGCTGCGCCTCCCTGCTGTGAGTGGTCCCAGGCCCTTCGAGGTGACTTGGACCCTGTGTGCCTGGGCCACTGCCCACAAGCAGCCTAGGACCCCGGACCTGGAGTCCTTGTCCATTCTGGTTCCCAAGGCCCCTTCAGGGGTGGAGGCGGCAACGGAGCCAACCAGCACAGAGGGGCTGTGGCTGCCAACGTGGCCAGATGGGCAGAGCCAAGGGGGAGCCCGACTGCTCAGCTTGGCTGTGTGTCCCCTGATGGGGCTCCGTGGGCGTGCTGCCTGCCACAGGCATCACCCGGACAAGCGCCAAGACTGCCCATCTGCCTCCAGCTCCTCCATTGCACCTCAGAGCCCAGACCCTGAGCCTAACCGGGTCGGGTCAGACTCCAGGGAAGAACCGCCCTCCCCTAATTGCAGGGTGGGTGGCAGCAGTGGGGCTGATGGGGGTGGGGGACAGGGGAGGGCTGCTGGAGGGCCACCCCCGGCAGCTCAGAGCATGCTCTGTCCCTCCAGGGGCCGGGCGTGTGAGGAGGCAGGTGCAGGGGTCAGAGGTGACAGCTGACAGCCACTTCACCCCTCTGCGCCCCAGCTGCCCCATGGTTAAATGCAATGGAAACTCCATTTTTTTTTTTTTTTTTTTTTTTTGAGATGGCGTCTCTGTCACCAGGCTGGAGTGCAATGGTGTGATCTCAGCTCATGACAACCTCCACCTCCCGGGTTCAAGCAGTTCTCCTGCCCTAGCCTCCTGAGTAGCTGAGACTACAGGTGCCCACCACCACGCCTGGCTAATTTGGGAACTCCATCTCTCTGAGGTCTCCAGGGCCCAGACAGTGGTGTCTGTGGACACTGTGCCCAGTGCAGCCTCTTACCCGGGCCAGGCCACCCCTGGCATTAAGCCCACACGGGCCACACTCACTTGGCCAACTTTATTTCTCAGGAAAAAACAGAAAAACAAATGTACCTTTTGGGTTGGAAAGGACCCACTGACAACGTGGCACAGACACGTGAGCAATAAATACGCATGTACATTCAAGTATGCAGGGCGCTGCCGCGTCCGGGAGGCCCTGTGTTTGGGCATCTGTCCCTGCCCTCGGGTGTGGCCCTGCCCCTCCAGAAGTGGGTCACCTTGTTGGGCCCAGGACTCCTCTCCACCCCGGCCTGAGAGCGGGGCCTGGAGGCACCCTCCTGGATGGAACTGCCAGCCCCGGGGGGTGTGGGGCCATGGCAGGGCCTGTGGCACTCGGGAGGTGCCAAGGCTGGGTATGGACAGGAGCAGGCGACCTCAGGCCCATCTCAGGCTCTGGCAGTTCCTGCGGGTCACAGGGTCTTGCGCTCGGTGACCTGTGGGCCCCTCCTGATGGGGAGACAGCGGTGATGTCATCTCCCCCAGCTGGTGGGAGGAGGGAGTTCTCATCTGGGGGGTCTGCAGGGTTGAGCTGAACGAAGCCTCCCGTTTCCACTGACCCCCGATTCGGGTGAGGGTCACAGAGCCTGGTGCTGCCTCCCACCCTGACCGGGCACTGTTCCCGCTGCCAGCTACCATCCCTAGGGCCAGGCCCTGCCCTTCTTCTGGCTTGGGGTTTTCGAAGGTCGACGTTCATGGCCGGCCGTTCTCTCTGCTCTAGAGACAGCCCCAGCCCCCGTCGAGGCCCTGGGACTCAGGTGGGGGGACCCTGAGGGCTGGCGCTGCAGCCTGGTCTGCCATGACTGGTCTGAGGGGCCTTCTGTAGTCTCTGACCTCTTCCTCCTCCAGCTGGGGCAGGAGTGGGGAGATAGACTTGGAGGGACCCCTGCATGGGGACGAAGCTGGAGGGAGGAGCATGCCTGCCACAGGGCCATCCAAGGGCCAGCTCTGGGGGGACAGAACACGGTGGCCCTGAGAAAAGGCTCGGAGACACCTTTGGGGAGAGTTGGGGAGACACCAGGGTTTCACATTTGGCAGGGCACGGCAGAGTGGGAAGGGCTTGGGGAAGAGGGTGGGGCAGTCTGCACAGCACTGGGCTGGGGCCGATATGCCAAAGGCCCTGTCCGGCATGTGGCGGGGCCAGGGGAGGGAGCTGAGAGCCATGGGGACCCAGCCCAAGATGGAAGCACGCCCTCCCTCCATGGGCAGCTTGGCCTGAGCCTGCCACCCTGGGTCAGGGAGGCCGTGGGGCTGCATGCCCAGTGCCTGTCCTCGGCGATGGCCTCGGGAGGTCGTGTCTGTGACTGTGAGCCCAGCATCCGGAAGTGGGGGCAGGGTGGGCCTGGCGGTGGGTGCAGGGCCTTAGCTGGTACCGGGCTGGCACTGCTGCTGGGGCTCGGGCAGGTCACCCGCCCCCTGCTCCAGGCCCCCCGCGAGGTCCACTCGCTGCTCGTCCATGCGCTTGGCCTGCACCCTCTGGATGAGGCTGAAGAAGTCCTCGTCAGGCATGGTGGGGCCCCGAGGCAGCACGTCGGGCGGTGGGCAGCGCTGGTCATCGATCCTGGAGGACTGGGTGGACACACGCGCGGTTGGCGGCCTCACCCTCCCCTGGTCCGGGGTCGGGTGGACAATGGCGGTTCCGGAGGGCTGGCGTGCACTGCTCATGGGCCCGTTCTGGGCCTCCTCGTGTCCACCCAGGAAATTGGCTCTGGGGCCTGCCTTGAGCTGGGGTCTTGTGCTGGGAGCCCAGACCCTGAGGCAGCTTCTGGAGGCCTCTCTCTCCCCCACCCCAGGAGCCCAGGGCAGGCCCACCCAGAAAAGCAGGTTCAGTGGTTCCCATTGGGCGTGGGTGCGCCAGGCCCAGGACACAGTGGCCAGGGTGGCATTGGAGACCTGTTCCCCAGATCTGCTGATCCCCAGGGTCAGGCATGCATGGCCGTCCCTCTGCCTGGCCCTGGAAGCTGGGGCTGACCCGGCAGGCCTGGGGTCTCAGCTCCCAGAGCTCAAAGCATGGGGCTCCCCAGGGTTCCCCCTTGGGCCAGGTGGCTGACCCTGTGGGCCTCGCTTGCTCCAGTGTGAAGGCCAGGGGGCCAAGGGGGCGTCTGGGCTTCTCTGAAGGACCTGGAGCAGGAGGGTCGGGAGCTGGCGCAGGCATGCAAGCGAACGGGGGGCTCTGGGCCTCTTGTGTGGGGTTGGTTTGGAGGTGGCTGGTCGGACACCTGGCCCTGGGCTACGGTTTCCTCTCTGCTGTGGGGAGGACGGCAGACCTGGAAACTTGCTGGCTTGGTGCATGGGTGGGCCAAGCTGCCTCCACCCCGGCTTGTTCCCGAGTCTGCGGGCCCTGAAACCCTTCCCAGCAGTGGCTGCACCCCCTACAGGGATGGCACGATCCCCAGAGTTTGAGGTCCCGGTTGGGACAGCTTAGCTCAGCCGTCCCCAAGCCGGATGCCCTACCTGGTTCACCCCTACACAGGTGGGGAGGGCACCCTCAGTGTGGCTGCCGGACTGGAGCCCGGCCGTGGCTCTGCCCTCTGGGGCCGGACCCTCTGCCGCTGCTGTCCACTGCATGGGTACCTGGATGGTCCCCGCCTTTGACCTGCCAGCCGGCCAGCAGCCCTGGGTCTCCCTGCCCTCCCCACTCTTAGGGTGCTTTCCTTGCTGGGTGTGGAGGCTATGGAGGAATGGTGGGGAATACCTGAGGCCACCAGCTCCAGGACCTGCCCTGAGTTCCTGTGCAGCAGCGGGGTAGCCCAGCCTGGGGGTGTCCTGGGGTTGCCTTCTGTGGGGATCTCTGGTCTCCCCAGCAGCCTGGAGCTCCCAAGAGTAGGGCTTCAGGCTCAGGCGCCCCTGGTCATCTGGTGATACTAGCTGAGTCCCCCAGATCTGGCCTGAGACGGAGGGACCTCACACCCCAGGACCCACTTGCTGCCTCCACCATGGATGGCAAGGGGGCCGTGAGCCAAGCCCGCCCCGGCCGCAGCCCACCTGGTACTTGATGAGCATGTTGAAGAAGTCATCCTCCGGCTCCTGCGGCTCCCCGTGCCCTCGGAGGTGCCCCGCATTGCTGTGGGTGATTCGCAGTCCCGGCAGGCTGCCCACACTGGCCCGCTGGTCATCCAGCCTGCGGCTCTGGGAGCTAGCGATGAGGTCGAAGAATTCCTCAGTCTGGGGCGAGGCAGTCATCGAGGTCTGAGCTGCAGGGGGCGGAGGGTGAGGCCTGGAACTCAGTTTGGGTTCAGGCTTGGGGCTCGGGCTGTAGCCACGGTGAGCGCTGACCTCTGAGCCCAACCCAGCCCACGGTGCTCCGGGGCCCAAGGCTCCCGGGGGAGTCTCCGCTGCCTGGCCTGGGCGGCTCTCTGCTGCTGCCCCTGCTGTGGCTCCCACACCCACCTCCGGGGCTTTCAAGGGTGACAGGAGGAGAATGCGGCTTCCCACACCCGCTCCAAGGCTGCGCAGGAGCCCTGACAGCGTGTTCTGGTGGGCGGGCTGATTCCACACTTTCTGGGATGCCGCTCTCTGGAGGCCGGGAGGGTGCACCCGGTAACAGGGGTGCTCTGCAGCTGGCCTGCTGGTCTGTCCCCTGAAAGCTCCTCCCTGGAAGCAGGATGGGAGCCCTGGTCCTGGCCCCTGCAGATAAGCCCAAGGTGAGGGCCCAGCTGAGCGGGACACTCACCGATCCTGTCCTCCAGGGTGGGGGCAGCTGTGGCCTCGGCAGCCCCAGCCTGGCCGTCTTCCAGGGGACAGCGCTGGTCATCCATGCGGCTGCTCTGGAACTTGGTCAGCAGGTCAAAGAAGCACTCCTCGTCAGAGGACGGGGCCCTCGGGATGCTCTGGGGAGGCAGTGGGGTCACTGTGGCCAAAGTCCCACAGCACCCCCAGCCCCTGCACAAGACAGGGGCTGCTTGCTGGGGCCACACACTTCTGAGACCCTGGCCAAGGTCGGGACCCGCACCTGCACCTGCCGGCTATCCCTCCCCAAGACGTGCCACCTCCGGCACCTGCCGACTCCCGTAGGCTTCTCCCTTCCTGTGGCTGCCAGCCCAGTCCAGGCCTTGGTCATCACCTGCCCACCCTCCCCAGACATCCTGGAAGCCTCCCTTGCCTCCTGCACTGTGCCTGCCACGCCCTCTGTCAGCCCTGCCACCAGCTCCCCGTGTCCCTGCCGCACTTAGTCCTCACCGGTGTCTGCTGCATCAATGAACGTGGAAGGAATGGACCCCACCCTGGCCTCAGTCTACACATCCAAACAAGGGAGGCTGGAGGGTGTGTCTCCTGTGGCCACCTGAGGGGCCCAACCGAAGCAGGTCCACCCTGTGACCCAGCCTCGGGGCCTGGTCGGGGCCCCGGGGCTGAGGGGTGGCTGTGATGGTTCCAAGGCCCCGTCCACCTGCCCATCAGCGCTGGCGCACACCGCCCGGCCCCGCCTGTCCATCTCACAGCTAGGGGCCTCTTCCAGGCCCGCTCAGTGCTGGGCTCTCAGCTAACGGAGTTAATAAAAGACACGATGTGGGCAGAGATGCCGCCTCCTGGGTGCCCCACGCTGCCTGGAACTCCTGACACCTGACCCCCAGCCCAGGAGACAGACAGCTGCTGGGACCAGCCCAGGGCACAGGAAAGAGAGGTCCAGAGACGCGTGTGACCTACCCAAGGTCACACTGGAGCAAAAAAGACCCCTGAGCTGAGCCATGGGCCCGTGGGCCGCCCTGTTTTAGGAGAGACCCCACGGGGCTCCAGGCTCTGTAGTCACTCCCCAGCTGTCACAATAGCTCCTATCCCTGAGGCAGAGCAGGGGAGGGGGAATTCTAGCACCCCCTTCTCCCTGCAGGGCTCCTACCTCCTGTGGCCTGGCTCAGGCCTGTGGTATCACCCCCACTGCCCCCACTCCCTAGCCAGGAGGGTGGGGAGAACTGCCCCAGGCTTCGGGGAGGGCTGCAGGCACAGGGCCAGGCAGAGGGTAGCAGCGGGGGAGCTACACAGGTAACTCCCAGGGAGGATGTGGCCTCCTGGTCTAAAAGGGACTGGCTCCCCGGCTGTGGTGACCTTGGATACAGCTGCATCTGGCCAAGCTTCACTTCCCCCGGTGACCCAGGGCCTAGGGGAACTGAGCAAGGGCCCTCCTGGGAAAGGCAGGACCCATCAGGGGCCATGTCCCAGGCTCCGCGGCACAGCCGCTTCCAGGGTCCCATGCCAGGCAGCCCTTCCCTTCCCTGAGGCCGGCGCCACCTGTTCAGGGGCTAATGCATCCCTCACGTGGGCAGGGGTCCAAGACCATAGGTGCAAAACCGTGGCTGGTATGGGGAGAGGCTCCAGTTTTGAGCCCCTGAGGGGCAGGACCCTGGGACCCAAGGCCAGCTGCCCCTGCATTTAGGTCCCAGTAGAACACGTCCAGGCGCCGGGCGCGGTGGCTCAAGCCTGTAATCCCAGCACTTTCGGAGGCCGAGGCGGGTGGATCACAAGGTCAAGAGATCGAGACCATCCTGGCCAACATGGTGAAACCCCGTCTCTACTAAAAATACAAAAAACTAGCTGGGCATGGTGGTGCGTGCCTGTAATCCCAGCTACTCAGGAGGCTGAGGCAGGAGAATTGCCTGAACCCAGGAGGCGGAGGTTGCGGTGAGCCAAGATCGCGCCATTGCACTCCAGCCTGGGTAAAAAGAGCGAAACTCCGTCTCAAAAAAAAAAAAAAAAAAAAAAGAACACGTCCAGGGGGACTTGGGGTCCCACTTGCCTGCTCTAACCTCTCCCTTATCCGAAGCCCTGGCTCCCTCCTTCCTGAAGCTCTCAGAGTTCTTCCTCAAGTCTGACTCCGGTCTCTTTTGCTTTAGTGCAAGCCCAGTTTCTCCCACGGAGGAGGGAAACATACTCTGACCAGGTCCACCCCACCTGGCTTCACGGAGGCACGTGTGCTCCCCTAGCCTCCCCCTGTCAGGAACCCAGGTATCCCAGACTCACACAGATCACAGGCTCTCTCCACAGCAGCAGGAGCCACGCTGGGTGCTTGGCCACACAAGAGGCCAGGCAGGACCCAGGGTGCCCAGGACCACCGCCGCCCTGCCCAGAGTGCCAAGTGCTGCCCCGAGGTTGGGATGCCTGAGGCTTAAATAGGATCCTGGGCGAGGCGCAGCCCTCCTAGTACCGCCTCTCTCACTTAAGCGCATGCACACACACGGGCTCACACACACGCGCACACACACACACACACTCCTGGGGAGTGTTTACTCCCCAGCGAGTGCAGCAGCGAGCCTCCCCCCACACCTGTGGGCGGACATGCTGGAGGGCTGTGTGGGCGGACAGCCTGCTGAAGAGCCCTTTTTCCGATGACACCCGGGTCCCTGGGCCTCCCTCTGGAGCTAGGCCAGCTGGGGTAAGCCACCTCTTTCTTCAGCCTGACTCTGGAGGCAGGTGCAGAGGAGCTGGGTAGGCTGCTGTCCTCCCCATCTGGACTCCTCTGTTTGGGCTGGCCCTTCCTGCCCCACAGCCCTCGGTGGCTCCCCAGTGCCCTGGCTCAGGCCTCCTGGCCAGCTCAGCTCCAGCCTGCTGCCTGCTGCCCCTCTGTCTCATTCCTGGCTGGAACCACACTGTCCCCAGCCTCTGAGGCCAACCCTGTCCTGCCCCCTGCCCTCTGCCCCAGAATGAGTTCTCTGGACCCCCAGACCACACCCAGCTGCACCTGCTCAGACCCCAAAGCCCGAATGTGCTGGCTGCCGGGCCCCTGCGCTGTCGGGGCACAGGGTGTGGAGGGGCAGGGGCTGGCTGGTCGACAAGCAATGGCACAGTGTCAGCATCAGCTGCACTTGGCAGACGAGGACCTCAGCTCAGAGGTGAACACCCTCCCCTGAGGACCCCAGCAGAGGGTGGGGCCCACACGGCCACCACTGCCCAGGGGTGTGTCCCCCAGCCACCCACGCAGGCTGCCACCAGGGCGCAGACGGCCCTGACCTCAGGAAGGCCAGTGGGGTTCAGGTCAGCAGAGAACCAGGAGGCCCTGGCACATCCTCACAGACCCGGGGACCCCGTCTTTCTGGTGCCAGGATCTTGGCTGTCCCGGGCATCCTGCCCTTCAGTGGGCCAGAGGAGCAGAACCTGAGGCAGGTGAGGGCTCCTTGGCCAAGGCCTCCAGAGTGCTGGGCCAGGCAGCCGGACACCTGGAACTGTGTCCCCTGGCCCCGCCAGCCCAGGCCCAGGGCAGTTTACTGGGGCACATGAGGCGAGCCCAAAGCCTCTGCTTCCTACAAAGCCACCTGCCCCTGAGGCTGGCTGACTCTGGCCTGTCCCACACATACTGCCAGCCTCCCGCTCCTTCCTTGGAGGCCCAGATACGATGGACAGGACTAGCTGTGGACAGGGCAGGTGTCTGGGTCCCAGTCCTGCTCCTCCCTCCAGTCCCAGGGAGGCTAGGGGGCCACTGGGATCCCCAGGAAGGCCTGATCAGGTGCTCCCTGGGATGAACCCTGCCCAGAGGGTCGGGCAGTGCTGGGGTAGAATGAGGGGAAGGTAGGCTGCGCCCTGCTGGCGGGAAGGACGGGCATCCCAGCCTGGCACCCATGCACTCTGCAGGTTGGAGCCATGGGGAACTGTTTCAGACTCATTTCTAGTGCTTTGGACCCAGCCGCCCTGCTCGGGGGAGCTCCAGGATGACCTCTGAACCCGGACTCGGCCCGTCTGTGTCCTTGAATGCCAACTGGCTCCCCTGTGGCTGGAGGGGCCCCTGGACAGCGGACACCTGCCAGCAGTCAAGAGCCCCGGCCTGTCCCGTTCCCTTGCCGTCCCTGAGCCTGACCCCCATCTGTCTGTCCTGAATCCGTCCCCCACACGCTTGGCAGTCAGTGCCACTGCCACACCCCTCCCCCACCGCTGTGTGCCGCAGCAATGCAGGGGCTCCTGGCTAGCCCTGAGAACTTGGGGTAGCCCCTAGGCTGCACTGCTGATGCTTGCTGGGCTCTGACCCTCTGCCCCCGCAAAGCCTCCAGTGTAGCTCAACTCGTGACCCTGAGCCCAGGTGGGGCAGCGCGGGGTGGGGCCTCCCAGCTCCTGACCAGGAGGAGCCCTGGGTGGACCCAGCCCCTTGCTGTCCCCTCACCAAGGGCTCTGCAGCCGGGCACAAGCCATCCAGCGGCATCCCCTCCACAAGCCCACTGGCCATCGGTCCTGCCCTGACCCCCGCCAGACTTGGAGAAGCCCCAGCACCTTGGCCCAGCTGGAGCTGCCGCACCTGCTGTCTCCACCCCAGGGCCTGACCGTGGGCGTGGCTTGGAGGCTTCCCACCTGCCCCTTGGGTGCCCCACAGGCCCCTCTGCTCAGGGACCCCGCCAGGTATCAGAAACCCAGGGATTCCCCCAGGGATTGTGTTGGCTTCATCCACCTCTCTGGGGCCCTGCTAGGGTACAAGCTTGACCTCACTGGCCAGAGCCTCCAAGAGCCGCCTCAGGAAGGGGTACCCCATCGGGGCACCTGTGCAGACTGGCTCTCACAATGGAGGCAGCCATTCCCTTTCAGGGACACACTCCTGCGACCAGCAGATGGGTCTGGAGGATCCCAGTGAGGGAGGGTGGGGGCTGGGGTCAGAGAGAGAGGCCACCTGAAAACTGAGAAGAGCCAGCCCGCCCAAGTGGTGAACAAGAGGGAAACTGAGGCCCAAGGAGAGACAGGGCTTTCCATGCAGAAGAGCCCAGGGCAGTCCCTGGGAGACTCCTTGGTGGCCCGGGCCTGAGGCAGGTGCACCCACAATGCTAAACCCGCGGCCATGCACGGAACCCCACCAGGGTCCTGGGACAGCCCTGCGCCAAGTGCGCTGGGGAGGGACCCCTGCCTCCCGGAGTGCCCGGGCCTGGCCTGGCTCCGCTGGCTGGCAGTGGAGTTGGGGCCTGGTTGCCAAGGTCTCCGCTCTCGGCCTGGCTTTGCCGTCGGGGCACCTACCGTGCGCGGCACCTGCACCCGTACGTCGGCGCTGTCCAGTGGGGAGTGGCTACCCTCCCGTGGCCTCCTCTCAGCCTCAGCACCTTCCTGGTACTTCCTGCTCCTCACAGGGAAGGGGAGCGAGTCCCTGCTGGGCCCCCGCCAGTCCCCTGAGTGCTGGCTGTCTCCATTCTGCTCCTGGGGAGGGGTAAGGCTGTGGGTATCCTGGGCAATTATGAACCCATGTCCCCTCCCAGGACCCTGAAGGGAAGGCCAGGCCACCTTCATTTCACGGACACACATATTAGGTGCCTAGTCTGCAGGGAAGTGGAGAGGCCTGGGGCTGTGGGCCCTTGCCTGGGGCCGGGACAGGCTGGGAGGTGGCGTCTGAGGGCCAGTGGCCTCCACTGAATATCAGCTGGCTTACACCAGCAACGACAGTGACAGTGGGCGTCCTCCGGCCTTGTCCCCACAGCAGAGCCCCGACAACTATCCACAACTGAACACACGCCACACCAGAGGAACCAGAGGCTCAGAGAGATCAGGCTGCTGCCCCAGGCCACATAGCACCCGCTGCTGGCAGGCACAGAGCCAGCTGGGCAGCCCCTGACTCTGTCCATCTGGGTTTTCTGAACCCCAGCTGACGTCTGCACCTGGAGCAGCTGTCCCCACCTTGGGTGCAGAGTCCACGAGAGCAGAGAGCAGGCAGGAGTGGGTGTTCCTGTGTGTGGACTCTGGGGGATGTAGTCACTTAGAGGCTAGGTGGGGCATGGGGGCCCAAAATGTGCGAGGACCACGCCTCGCCTGGGCCACAGCTGGCCAGAGGCTGAGGGACGTGGGGGAGCAGGTGGCAGATGGGCCCATGCAGGGCCCCAGGCCGAGGAGGGCACATTTATCTCCCAGCAGATGGGGGCTGAGGTGGGTGGCGGTGGTTCGGCCTCATTAACCCTGATGCCCGTGCTCCGGCTGTGGCTGTGCTGACATCGGTCCCCTGTGTCCCCAGCTCACCCTCTCCAGGGGGAGTCTCAGCAGGTCCCAGGGCTCCATGCTCAGCCTCTGTGTCCTCTTGGGTCTGGCCCCTGAAGACAGAGGGGCCCAGTCAGTCCAGGGCCACCCTGGCACCTCGCATCGCCTGGGCCAGGCTGGGGTCGGGGGCCAAGGACCAGCCTGGCCATGGCTTTCTGACCACCAGCCTGGAGGTGAATGCCATGTCCAGGTGTCCTATGCACCCCCCCACTGTACTGTCAAGAGCCAGACAAGCCAGCCGGAGGGGGACAGACATCGAGATGGGGCGCACCCGGGGTGGGTCATGTAGGGTATGGCTTTGCACCCCCTCCCGTCCTGTCAGGGCCTGGCTCTGAACAGGGCTGTCCCCTGTGACACACGGGGCCTCCCCTTGCAAGCTCCTGCTGTTCCCTCTGCCTCAACGTCCTTCCTGTGGCCCCTGTGGCCCTTGGCCACCCCTGTGAGGCCACCCAATCCCCCCTCCTGAGAGTGTGTCATGCTGTGGCCCAGTGGCAGGTGGGGTGGGCCTCTGGGTGTTCCCAGCTCACCAAGGGCAATCCGGGCCAGGGTTGGGGAGACAAAGGCCTCAGATGAGTCCTCCAGCCCAGCTCTACTGTGGGGCCTTCCCCGGGCTCCTGTCCATCCCTCCTGGCCCTGCACTCACCCTTCTGGCCGTGTGTCCACCCAAGGAACCCCGATCTCCTCTGCCACAGTGGGGTGGGGAGGCACAGCCGTCTGACCCAACACTGGCCAGCTTCGGACCCAGTGGAGCTTCCAGTGCCTGACCTGGAGCCCCCGGACAGCCCCACAGCCAGACCCACCTCCAAGCCTGTCCCAGCACGGCCCTGGCAGAGGCGGGTGCTCAGCCCTGAGGGGCCCGACAGGATTTGGAGTTTGGGAGAGTGGATCCCACCTCAGCCCGGCTGCTCCCTGATCACTTGCCCAGGTCCAGGGCAGAACGGACGGGGCAGACCAGAAATGAGGCGGCAAACAGAAAACGGGTGCAATCCAGGATGTGGGGAATCCCATCCTAGCACCTCCAGACCAGCAGACTTGGCCCCATTGCTACGCCTCGGAGCTCAGTGCCCTCCTCAACAGACTGTGCCAGCAGGGATGGGCCGGGCAATTCCCCTCTGCACCATCCGAGGCTGGGACGGCCCCACCTCAGTGCTCCCAGCCTCGGATGGTGCAGCCTGAAAGGGACAAACGGGGCTGGAGTTGGCGTCCTGTTCTCTGAGGGGCTGCCTGCTGCCCACCCCCACCCAGATTAGCAGGACAGCTCTGAGGATAGCTCCCTACCCGTGTAGTTCGGGGCCTGCTCCCACACCATGGAAATAACAGAGGGGCACATCTGTGCCAGGGTGGGCCCTTTGGTACCTACCACACCCAGCAAGAGCCCCACTCCGTCTCCCAGCATGCATGCCTGAGGGCCTGGCTCTCCCTCTGCCACCCCCCACTGCCGTGGGGGCCTGACTCAGTTTCCCCACCGCATGCTTCTCCCAGGCCTGGCCCTCCACCAGGACACTGCATGGATGGGCCCAGGCTGCGGCAGTGGCTGAAATGCCCTTCTGAGATACAGCCTGCGTCTGGCTCCGGGACGGGCACCCTCATGGCCAGGCACGGACGGCGGGCAGAAGGCCCGCTGCACCCAGCTCAATGCCCCCTCTGTCTGCAGAGCCGGGTGAGGTGTTGAGTCTGAGCTCCACGCCCTTGGCTGAGCTGCCCGGACAAGGCGCCCTCAGGCCCAGCCCACTGGCTTGGCTTCCTGTCTCTCCCAGCTACGAGGCAACATTCAGAAACTTCTCCCAGCGCCGGCCCATGGCCAGCTGGCACTGACCGTCATGCTGGCGTCCTCATTTCTGTCCTCGCTCAGCTCCAGACGTTTATGTGCCATGGCCAACGCCAGCCCACCGAGCCTCTCGCTCACCCTGCGCCTGCCTGATCCCTCAGAGCACCACCTGGCTTGGCTCAGACCTCAGCAACCCCGATTTTCAGCTGTTCCCCTCAACGTTCCTTCATGCCCACCTCTGGTCTGAGATCAGGCAGTCCTTGCCTCACTGCAGAACCAGAATCCCGCCCCTCCTCGCCTCCCTGCAGCCAGATCACCTGCCCCTCACTGCCTGCTGCCCCAGCCATGTCCCTAAGTCTCCTCTCCATGCAGGGACCGAGGATGGGAGTTGTAAGGGCTGGCCCACGCCTTGCTCCTTTGCTGGGTCCTGAGGATTCCACCCCACTGGAAAGGGGCCGCACACAAGGGCCTGAGAGGCCTCCCACCTTCAGCCAAGGCCCTCTCCTTGCTCCATCAGCTCCAGGCCTCCCCTGCCCCTCTACCCACCGGGCTGGCCCCTGCCTCCAGGCCTTTGCACAGGCTGTTCCCGCTGCCCGGATGCTGTTCTTCCATCTTAGCTCCAGGCTCACTTCTCTCCAGTTCTACTCATTGCTGGAACATCATCATTAAAGCCCTAACTCCTTGTGGGATAGTGTTAGCAGGTCCTGAGGTTTACACGAGGTCATAAGGGTGGAGCCCCCCATAATGACTAGTAGCCTCAAGAGAAGCCGCCAGCATTCTCAAGCTCCCCCTTCTTCCTTTGTCTCTGCTACATGAGGACACAGCAGGAAAGCACCGTCTGCCAGCCAGGAAGAGGACCCTCACCAGTGCCCAGCACCCAGACCCTGACCCTGGCCATGTGGGCTCCAGAGCTGTGAGGAGGCAACATCTGCTGCCCCGGCCTGCAGTGCTCTGTGAGGGCAGTTGGGGTGGACAGTCACGTCCCGAAGCCCACCTGGCTGCTGCAGCCCGCCCCCATGTTCCCATCCATACCACCCCTGTGGGGCTTTTCTTCCTGCCACAGTCCTCCCTGCGGCTTGCTCCTGGGCTGACCCTTCCTCACCTACAAGATGCTGGACGCGGCTCAGTGGTCTTGGTGCCAGTGAGGGCCCCAGCAGTGCCTGGCACACAGCAGAGGCCTGGTGACCAAGCAGCGGGCATTTACCGTGGGCCTGACGCGTGCCGGGCCCTGTGTACCATTTCCCGCGCACTGTCCCTTCTGAGCCCTCCTAGGTGTGTGGACAGAGGGTGCATCCTCCGTCTCGAGGGATGCCCAAGGGCCACTGGGCTGCTGGAACAGGAGGATGGTGCTGCAACCACGCCTGCCGCGCCCACCCAGGGCCCGAGCATAACAGGCTCATGGGCTCTCGGGCTCACTGGCCTCTCACCCCTGCCAAGCTCTGTTTCTAGCACTACTGGTGGGCCCCTTCCCCAGACAGGGACACTGAGGCACAAGTGGGTCAAGTCACTTCATCAGCTGGCCAGGGCCGGAGCCCACATCCTAAACCGCAGCGGACGTTATGCCAGGCACATCCCTGACCCCGAGGCCACCCATTGGGACGTTCAGGTAACTTCTTCCAGGGAAGCTGGTGGTATTCTTCCCCGGGAACTCCTGTGTACAGAACTGCTGCTTCGAGCTCAGGATGCCCTGGGCAGGGTCCAGAGACTGTGGAACACTGTCAGCAGGGCAGTCACACACCTTGTGGGACATGCAGGGCCCAGGAGACCCGCAGAGGGCAGGGGGTGGCCCTGCAGGGCTCAGGGCCGGCTTTGTCCTCCTAACACGCCAGTCATGCTGCCTGAACCAAGAATGGCAGCAGAGCCTCAGAGCCTCCATCTCCTGCCCTGCATCCTTGCTGGGATGGGGGGTGGGGCATCCCAGGAGCAACTGTGCCCTCTGGCCAGGGAGGTAGGGGCTGGGAGCTGTCAGGGTCTCACAGAGGCCACATAACCAGAGGAGCTGGACAGGGCCAGCCGCTGGCAGGGAGGTGCCCCCCAGTCACACTTCTGGGACCTCCCTGCTGGTTGGGGGTTCGCAGAGGGCGGTGAGATTAACACGTTGCCTGAGCCCCGCCAAGGCTCTTCGTCCCCCAGCCGCACACAAGTCTCCGGGTGTTAATCAGCTTGACACTAAACCCACCGGTACCCATGGGCCACGCCCATCACAGCAACGCCCCGCCCCGCCCCCTGGGGTGAGGCCCCGCCCTCGATGACTTCCTCCTCCACCCGCTCCGCCCCCAGCCGGCTGGTCAGCGCCCTCCGGTGCCCCCAGCCCCCGCCTCCCCCATCCCCGCGGCCAGGCTCTAGAGCGGCTCTGCACCCCGCTTCCCCCCCGCAGTGCGCAGATCCACCCCGCGCTCCGCACCTGCCGAATGGGGGGGCTGCGTGGGTCCTTCCGTGGCGCCCGGACCCGCAGCGCCAAGTCTCCCGGCTTTAAGGCCTTGCCCCGGCCAGGCTCACCTGAGACGGGGGGTTTCCCGCCCCCGCCCCCAGCCACCCAGACTCTAGGGGTGCAGCCGGCCTCCCGCAGCGGCGTCGGGGCTGTGGCCCCAGCCAGGAAGCAGGGCTGCCCTGGGCGGGGAGGAGGACCCTTCCCCAGCCCTGGGGGAGGAGGCATCGACGGCTGGAAGGGGTCCCGCACAGAGGAGCCAGGGAGGGACAGAAGCTGCTTTGTCCCAGCGTCCTCCCACTCCGGCCCCCCTTTTCCTTGGCTCCGAGAAAGAAAACGTCAGGAGGAGCCGGAGCCTTTCCAGAGCTGGGCCCAGCCCCATCACCAGTTGCTGCTGGGGTCCCAGATGGTGGTAGTGCTGGGTCAGGAACACAGGAGAGGCACTAGAGATCTCGGCAGAGCTCCCCACCCTTAGAAAACCCAGGCAATGGGTAACTACAGGCCTGGACATCCTGGGGGGCATATTCCAGCCCATCCTCCACCCACCCACGGCCATTGGTCACAGCACGCTGTCCCACAGGCTCGCTGAGGGCCCCAGAGCTCTGCTTCTTCCTCTGTCCTCAGCCTCTGTGGCAGCTGACATGCACCTCCAATTTACCAGGAGAGGTCATCATCAGAAACCCATGAGCATCGTCAAAAACCTGGGGGACGGCTGGGCATGGTGGCTCACGCCTATAATCCCAGCACTTGGGGAGGCCAAGATGGGAGGATCGCTTGAGGTTGGGAGTTTGATACCAGCCTGGGCAACATAGTGAGATTCTATCTATGTAAAAACATTTAATTATTAAAAATAAGAAAAAGAAACTGCAGAAGCCCAGTGCCATCTCCAGGACTGGCATCCCCAGCCTGGTCCTCAACAGGCCTGGGGGCCCCAGGTGTGTTCTGGGCAGCAGACATCCCTTCTCAGGGGTCGGGGCTCAACTCCCAGCAAATTCAAGACCCTCAGGGGCGAGGTGGCTGGCTTCCCCAGGCCTGCCCCTCATCCTCCTGCCAGCTGCCTCAGGAAGTCAGCCCAACATGGCACTACCCCCATCACTTCTTAGTGTATTTGCTTTACAGAGGCATGTGCTGTCGTGTGTCTGCAGCACTGCTGACCTGCGTGGGACACCAGCAGCCCAGGAATGGGGTCACCCTGTGGCTTCGCCTGGCCTCGGATCTTGCCTGATTATGGCCCCAGGCACATGGGGCTCCCCCAGCCCAGCCTAGCCCTCTGGTCTCCCAGCAGCTCTTCCCGACCCTGGTATGAGGAGAGACGGTCTCCCCGCACCGAGTGTTCCAGGGGCAGCTGGGGGTGGGGGCCCTGGAGCGGCCAGTGGGGCAATAAGCAGCCACCTGCTCTCCTGCCAGCAGCCCAGTGGCACCACTCAGGACGCAGGTGGCAGGGGCTCAGGGTGAACTTCAGGCCTGTGCTGTTCCTGAGGCCAGGAAGAACCGGCTTGCAAGGGGCATTTTCTGGCGGCTGCCCCCTCAGCCATGCCGGCCCTGCCTCTATCCCACCCCTCCCCAGCTCCCCACCCAGTTGGTGCCTGTGACCCCCCCACAACCCTGAAGCGAGACCCCCACAACCCTAGGAACTCACCCTGGGCCTCATAGCCAGCCAGGTCAGGCTTCTCTGAGGCTGTCGGGCTGCTCAGGCGGCTGAGCACCAGCCGCAGCTGCGCCACGTTCATGCGGGCCGTGAGCTCCCCGTGACGGTCCCCGATCTGTGGTGAGTGAAGCGGGAGGCAGAGTGGGCAGGTGTGGCTGGGGGCCCTGCTTCGGGCTCCAGGGGGACCTCGATGGCCCTCAGCACACTGTTCCTGACCTTCTGGGTGGCCTGAACCTATCACTGACCCCTGGGCCTCTGACGGAACCAGGACTCGCTGTAGCCCCTGAGGTGGAGTCTGGGGGTCTGTCCCTGGGTAAGGTGGTCCCACAGGTCCTCAACAACCCTTAGGTCCACTCGAGAGATGCTTGGGGTCCCGGGCGGCCGGCCGAGAGAGGCGCAGTGGCAGGGCCAGGCCCCTTGCCGACTCCTCATGGGATGGTGTTAGCACATCCTGAGGTTTACATGAGGTCATGAGGGTGGAGCCCCATAATGACTAGTAGCCTCAGGAGAAGCCACCAGCATTCTCAAGCTCCGCCTTCAAGGGGCCTGGCCCTGCCCACTGCACCTCTCTCAGCCCCTGCCTTGGGCACCGAGGCTTCATAGGGGAACCCTCCCAGGAACATCCACATTGCTTGGGAACCAACAGTTTGCTTAAGTGGAAGAGAGGGTGGCACGGGGAGGGGGGGACTGTCACGCAGAGCCCTAGAGGGCCCTGGAGGCTGTGGCCTGCACTCAGAGGGACTCGGGGGCTGCCTGCCGGCCACCTACTGGCCTCTCCAGACGAGGCCTTTGCTGGCCTTCACATGCCTGCCCCTCCCCTCCCAGCTGCTTCCTGCCTGGGCTGTGGGTCGGCAGGGGCTGGCACCGTCTTTAGCATGGACAGACTCGGCAGGGGCTGGCACCGTCTTTAGCATGGACAGACTCTGGGTGTGCAGAGGGCGGTGGCATGGAAGTGTAAGAACAGTCCGGGAACCGGGAGGCCCAGAGTTTACCCGTGACGTCCCGCCCTGACCACAGTGGGAGGCTGCTGGTGGGCAGAGCCCAGAAACCCTGTGCAACCTCTCCAAGGAGGAGGAGACAGCTGCCCGGGAAGGCACCAGCTGGGGGGCTGCAGGAAAAATCCCTGGGTGCAGTAGACAAGTCACCAGCAGGCCTTGGAAGGACCCGGTGGCCAGGTGGCTGCAATGGACCTGGAAGGATGGGGGTGGTCCAGGCATGCCAAGGGTCGATCGGGTGGAGCGGACCCACCCGTCTGGAGTGGGCTGGACAGTGCCCGGGACCTCTGGTGGCAGGCTGGCTCACCTCCTGGGAGATCTGCAGGTGCTTCTTGGCGAAGGTCAGGGCCTGCGCCGGGCGCCCCATGGACACGTAGGCATTCCCCAGGCTCCAGCACGCCCGGCCCTCGCCCACTCTGCCAGAGAGGGAGACTGCGTCCATACCTGCCCTCTCCAGGCCTGCCCCCAGCCCCGGCCGCAGCCCCTGGTGGTCAGGGCCCCAGCATGACCTTAGCTTCTAGGGTCATCGGGGGCCCCCAGCCAGGACCTTCCACAAATTCTGCCACCTTCAAGAAGCCCCAGTCGGCTCCGCCTTTTTCTTCCTGTTAAAGGGGTGCATAGAACCGGGCAGCCCGGCCTGCAGCCGCCTCTGCCTTCCAAGCAGCTTCTGGGCCCTGGGACTCGCTCGCCCCCTGGCGGCCAGTGAGCCTCCGCCCCTGCACTCCCTCCACCCCTAGAGGCACCCCTAAGTCACGGGGTGGGGGGTTGTTTTTATATTGGAGGGAAATGCATCTAACAGGAATTTGACCATTTTCAAAGAGATGATTCAGTGGCATTTTGTTCATTCACACTGTGTAACTGGCACCTCTGTTCCCGAACATTCTCACCACCCCACAAGGGAAAACCTTGGGCTGCTTTTAAGCCTCCAGGCAGGGCAGCCTTTCAAAAGACCTCTCCACTCCGCTGCCTGTGGCTCTGAGTCCCTTGTCCTGGCCACCACCTACCCCAGACTTGCACTGGACGGTGCTTAGGGGCCTGTGGTCGGCCGGCTTGTCTCTCTACAGAGACTGATATTTACATACATACATGGGTGGTGGGGGGGGGCAACAGCGTGGCAAATTGAGTGATGGGAGGGGGGCCCCACCCCCTTGTGCCAGGGGTCAGCGGCTGGCCCAGTGTCCACACCGTCTGGCTCCGTCCCCACAGCGGCCCTGGCCCACCCAGGTCACACCATGGTCAGTGATACAGCAGGGGATGGGACCCAGGCCATCTGGCCCGGGCCACGGTAATTCAGCCTGTGGACCGGGCCAGGTCTGCCCGCCGTGCCCGCGCCCACTCACCTGTCGGCCAGCTCCTGGGCTATGAGCAGGTGCCGCAGGTGGTACTCAGCCGCGCGCTCATAGTCCTGCAGCAGCGTGTAGGTGTTGCCCAGGCTGTAGCAGGCCTGCGCCTCCACCGCCTGGTCCCGGAGCTGCCGGGCCAGCTGCAGCGTCTTCCTGCGCAGAGTGGCAGGTCAGCCCCCAGGGAGGAGGGGTGGAAGGAAAGAATGGGGACCCAGCCTGCCGATGGTCCCCTGCCCCGGAATCCCGCTGGGGCCCCTCTGGGGTCAGGCTCATCCCCATCCTCAAATGGCCACAGAGCCTGACTGCTGGCCCCAGGTGGACAAGGGTCCTGTCAGGCTCTGGCAAGTCGCCTGACCACCCTGAGCTGCCACTCCTCCCCGGACTACTGTGCCCACTGCTTGGGCTGAGATGGGCTTAAGTTTAGGGCTGGGTCCAGGACCCAGTGCTGACAGCCAGGCTCCACCTGGCAGGCACTGCTCTGTGGCTCAGGCCAGGGGGCAGATGGCCCGGACCTCCCACAGGCTGGCTCCTCCGAGCCCACCTCCCCACAAGCGTTGTCCGTCTGCCCTTCCTGGGACAGCCTAGAAACCCACCTTGGCTTCTGGGAGGAGGAAGGAAGGGGAGGCAGTCAGACTCTGCCTTGGGGCAGGCACCTCTTTGGCCTGGCACCCAGGCCCCCCCCATGCCTGCTGTCTCCTTGGGGGTGCAGGGATCACCTACTTGTAGTACTCGGCGGCCACGTCAAAGCGCCCCAGGAAGACGTGGGCGTTCCCCAGGTTGCTGTAGGCTCTCCTCTCGGCCGCCTTGTCTCCAAACT